TTCTTAGTGCCAAACTGTACTCCACTGTGAGACGGGCCACATTTGATGGAGGCGCTCACAGGCGTTCGGACGTTTGCATTGCTTCCACCCAGCCGAGTCTTGTGGGTGCGTGTCTCTGTTTCCCTTGGGTACATCCCCAGAGTGGAATTCCTGGACCGTGGGAGGCACTGTCAGGTGTCTTCCAAAGCAGCTGCACCATGGCGCATTCTCACCAGTGATATGAGTGAAGTGGTAACTTACTTTCTAATACATTTGTTGGCTTTGAAATATATATACTTATTTGCTTTCTTTCTACTTGGAAATCAGAAAGAGATCTTTTGCCCCCTGATTTACTATGCAAATATGAGTAGGAGCCAAGGCTGGGCCAGGAATCTGGAACTCAGTTCATTCTCCCACGTGGGTGGCAGGAAGCCAAATACTTGAGCCGTCACCTTCTGCCTCCTGTGGTGAGCATCCAGGAAGCTGGATGAGCAGTGAAGTGGGGCTGGCGCTGTGGCACAGTGGGTTAATCCTCTGCCAGCAGTGCCGGCATCCCATATGGGCGGCAGTTCTAGTCCTGGCTGCTGCTCTTCTGATCCAGCTCTCTGCTGTGGCCTGGAAAAGCAGTGGAAGATGGCCCAAGTCCTTGGGCCCTTGCACCCACGTGGGAGACCGGGAGGAAGCTCCTGGCTCCTGGCTTCAGATTGGCCCAGCTGTGGCCGTTGCAACCATTTGGGGAGTAAACCAGCACATGGAAGACCTTTCTCTCTCTGTCTCTCCTTCCCACTGTCTGTAACTCTACCTCTCAAATAAGTAATAAACAAAATCTTTATTTAAAAAAAAAAAAAAAAAAAGGAGAGAGAAGTGAAGGAAGTGGGGCTGAAGCCCGGCAGGCACTCAGACACAAGGCGCGGGTGTGTGCGGCTGTCACTGACCTGCTGTGCCAAACCCTGAGCCTTCGCTGTGGTGTGGGTTTGTGTCTCCCTGATGGCTGGTGCTGCTGGCCATCTCCCATGTGTCTGTGGCCAGTTTGTCGTCTGGAGAAATGTCTGTCCAATCCTTTGCCTGTTTAAAGTTGGATGATTTTGTGTTAGATCGCAAGCGTTCTCTGTACTCCAGCGCGCGTCCTCTGTCGGCTCTCTGACCGCGTTTGTTCTCATTCTCCCTTCTTCGTGGTGGGTTTCGCCCCGAGTGTTGTATTCTGATGAAGCCCCATCAGTGCTACTTTCTTCTTTCGCCACTTGTGCTCTTGGTGTCGTCAAAGCGCGGCTGCATTGTGGTGTAGCATATTAAGCCACCACCTGCCACGCTGGCCCTTCTCAGAGCGGCAGTCCCAGCGGCTCCACTGCCAGTGCAGCTGCCTGCTAACACACTTGGGAAGACAGCAGGTGACCCCAAAGCTTGGGTCCTTGCCCCCCAGGAACACCCTGGCTTCGTCTGTCCCAGCCCAGGCTGTTGCAGCCATCGGGGGAGTGAACCAGCAGGTGGAAAGTGTCTGTCTCTGTCACTCTTTCTTTCATATAAGTAAGTCTTAAAAAAAAAAAAAAGAAAGAAAGAAAGAAAACATAGTCAAATCTGAAGTCCTCAAAATCTTCTGTGTTTTTTTTTTTTTTCAAATAGTTTCATAGTTTTAAAACCTGCATTTAGATGTTTGACCAATTTTGAGTTCATGTTTGTAAATGGTATGAGATGCATGTGGCTGTCCAGTTGTCATAGCGCCATATTTGAAAAGCTGTACTTACTTATTTGAAAGGTAGAGTTAGAGAGAGAGGGAGAGACAGAGAGAGAGAGACCTTCCGTCTACTGATTTACTGCTCACAATGGCCTGGCTGAGCCAGGCTGAAGCCAGGAGCCCAAAGTTCTATCCCAGTCTCCCACATGCGAGGTGAGAGCCCAAGTAGTTGGGTCGTCTCTGCTTTCCCAGGCACATTAGCAGGAAGCTGCATCAGCAGTGGAGCACGCAGGGCTTGAGCTGGTGCTCGTGTGGGATGCTGGTGCTGCAGGCGCCAGCTCATCCCGCCGCACCACAGCATCAGCCGTCTGTTGAAACGATTGTCCTCCCCACTGGGCAGCCTCGGCACCCGTCTTGGAAGCCGTTGGCTGTAGATGCGTGGGTTGTGTCTGCACTCTCAGGCTGTTCCCTTGACCGCCATGTCTGTCCTGTGCCAGTGCCGTGCTGTCATGGTTAGTGGGACTTCGCAGTAATAAGTTTTTTTTAAAAAAAGATTTTATTTTATTTATTTGAAAGAGTTACAGAGAGAGGTAGAGACAGAGAGAGAGGTCTTCCATCCGCTGGTTCACTCCCCAGATGGCCGCAACGGCTGGAGCTGCGCCGATCCAAAGCCAGGAGCCAAGAGCTTCTTCCAGGTCTCCCAGGAGGGTGCAGGGACCCAAGGACTTGTTCCATCTTCTACTGCTTTCCCAGGCCACAGCAGAGAGCGGGATTGGTAGAGGAGCAGCCAGGACTAGAACCGGCGCCCATATGGGATGCTGGTGCTTCAGGCCAGGAGTAATAAGTTGGTTTTTTTGTTTGTTTTGTTTTGTTTTTGTTTTTGTTTTGACAGGCAGAGTGGACAGTGAGAGAGAGAGAGAGAGAGACAGAGAGAAAGGTCTTCCTTTTTGCCATTGGTTCACCCTCCAATGGCCGCCGCGGCTGGTGCGCTGCGGCTGGCACATCGCACTGATCCGAAGGCAGGAGCCAGGTGCTTCTCCTGGTCTCCCATGGGGTGCAGGGCCCAAGCACTTGGGCCATCCTCCACTGCACTCCCTGGCCACAGCAGAGAGTGGCCTGGAAGAGGGGCAACCAGGACAGAATCCGGCGCCCCGACCGGGACTAGAACGTGGTGTGCCGGCACCACAAGGCGGAGGATTAGCCTAGTGAGCCGCGGCGCCAGCCCTAGTAATAAGTTTTTAGACTGAGAAGTGTAAGTCCTCCGACTTTGTTTCTTAAAGATGCTTTAACTATTCTGGTCTCTTGTATTTTGTGATGATTGTAGGATTTTGTTGTCAATTTCTGGAAAAACAGCCACCTGGGATTCTCACAGGGATTCCTGACCAGTAGATGAGACTGGGGAGGGTTGCCACCCTAACAGTAGTAAGCCATTTGACCCATGAACACAGATTATTCATCCATTTGCTTAAATCATCTCCAATGTTCTTCAGCAATACTTAGTGGTTTTCAGTGTGTAACACTTCGTTTGTTAAAATTATGCCTAAATATATTCTTTTTGGTGATAGTGTAAATGAAAACCTTTTAAAATTTCAGAATGTTCACTGCTACTATACAGGAGCACAACCTCGTTTGGCATGTTGGGCTTGTACTCTGACCTTGCTGAATTTGTGAGTACTGATAGCTTTAGCAGGTTGCTCAGGATTTTCCATATGTAACATCATGTCATCTACAAATCAAGGTAGTTTTACATCTCCCTTTCCTTTCTTTTTTTGTCCAACTGCCCCCTAAAGAACCTCCGTCACAAAATCAAATCGGCGTGGTGAGGACAGACACCTAGTGTTGCTCCTGATCTGAGAGGGAAGTGCGTCATCTTCCACCCTGGCCTAGAGGGCTCTGAACGCCGTGCTTCTAGTCTCTGCTGCCAGCGGGGCCTCACCCCCATCACTTGCTGCTGCTGCTGTTCCCTAAACCAACAAACGAGGAGATTGATTTGAAAAGGGTCTCCCTTTCCAATTCTTTTTTTGTTTGAACACTTTATTTATTTATTTAAAAGGCAGAGATATAGAGAGAAGGAGAGAGACAAAGAGATCTTCCATCACTGGCTCACTCCCCCAATAGCCACAAGAGTTGGGGCTGGTCAGGCCAGAGCCAGTAGCTTTCTCTGGATCTCCACACAGTGCAGGGGCCTAAGTACTTGGACCGTCTTCCACTGCTTTTGTTTTCTCTTTTTATTTATTCATTTGAAAGGCAGAATTACAGAGAAAGAGAGAAAGATGTTCCATCCACTGGGTCACTCCCCAAATGACCAGAGCTGGGGTGACCTGAGGCCAGGAGCCAGAAGCTTCATCCATGTGCGTGCACCCTGCCATGTGGGTGCAGGGGCCCAAGCGCTTGGGCCATCTTCTACTGATTTCCCAGGTCCATTAGCAGGGAGCTAGATTGGACGTGGAACAGCTGGGACTCAAACCGGCGCCTGTATGGATGCCGGTGCTGCAAGTGACAGCTTAGCCCACTGCGCCACAGCAGCAGCCCTCTTCCACTGCTTTTCCAGGTCCATTAGCAGGGAGCTGGATTGACAGCGGAGCAGCTGGGACTCAAACCGGCGCCCGTATGGGATGCTGACACTGCAGATAGAGGCTTAACCTTTTCCTTCGGTCCCATCCAATTATTTTTTAAGATTATTTATTTATTTATTTGAGACACAGTTACAGAGAGAGAGAGGAAGAGGCAGAGCTTTCCCATCGCTGATTCACTCCCCAGATGGCCACTAACACTAAGCCAGGCCGAAGCCAGCAGCCAGAAGCTTCATCCAGGTTTCTCACATGAGTGGCAGGGACGCAAACACTTGGGTCGTCTTCCACTTTCCCGGGCCACTAGCAGGAAGGTGGGTGGGAAGTGGAGCAACTGGGACTCAGAGCTGTGCCCATGGTGGGATGCCGGCATTGTGTGCGAAAGCTTTACCAGCTGTGCCACAGTGCCAGCCCCTCCTCTCCGATTCTTCCATCCTGCACTTTGTGATTCTACTTGGATTCTTCGTTCTTAGCCATTTCCGCTGGGCATTGGCAAGATCATCCTACAGACTGTGTAAGCACACCTAGAAATATCTGCAGGTTCTTTTTCCGTACCCATCTTGACTGCTTTGGCTTCCACAATTCTGAATAACCTAACCGAGATGGGAATAGCAAGACCTGAAGCAGGGGTGCTTGATGGGCCCGTGTTTCCTTTCCTTTGGAATTGAGCAGCCAGGAAAAGGCTGGTTTGAGGACACTGCTCGTTTCCACGGACGGTCGGGGAACCGCCGCTTCTTCCCGCCCTGCCCACTAACCATCATCATCCTCTGTGTTTTCAGACTCCCAGCGTTCTCACCTCTCTTCCTTCACCATGAAGCTGATGGACAAATTCCACTCGCCCAAAATCAAGAGAACGCCGTCCAAGAAGGGGAAACCGGCCGAGGTGTCTGTGCGGATCCCGGAGAAGCCTGTGAACAAGGTACGTGGACACCGCTGGGGCGCAGGACGATCGCTGCTGCTTGTCCGGCCGTGGTCGCAGGCGGGGCCTGCGGTGAGAACAGTGAGGGTGCTGCGTGACGTCCTGTCCGCCAGTCAGGCTCAGCCGGCTGCCGTTCTCCTCTACCAGCCGTGGGCGTTAAACAGCTCGGCACACTGCTCGCCTGTGCTGCCTCCCGCCCCAGGGAGCCCCGCAGTGCCCAGGCACACACGCACGGAGACGTTTCTGACGTCCGAAGTGTCCGTCATTCTGGCGTAGGGTCCATGGGATGGAACGTGCAAACCCCTCAAAAGCCAGCCACAGGTGTCCTGGAGCACTAGTGACCTGCACAGGGCCAGTCCAGCCAGATCGTTCAAGCAGCTGTTGGTTTCCCTCAACCCCTCCCTTCAGCCTAAAATGGCCATGTGAAGCTCTGTAGGAATCCAGGTTTCCTCTCTTCCAGGAGGCAGCACACAGATTTCTACCAGAGGGCTACCCTAACCCCTTGGATCTGGAGCAGCAGGCAGTAGAATTTATGTCCACCAGTGCTGTGGCTTCCAGGTCTCAGAGGCAGAAGGTCAGTGTGACATTGAGAACGACGGGGTTTGCCTTGCCGTCTACTGTAGAATCTGGGTCCATGGTTTTGGGGATGGAGAAGAAGCTATTGCAATACTGTCGTGTTCAGTCGGGTGGTGACGGGGCCAACTCCTGCAGGAAAGAGCCAAGGGGCCTTGGATAAACGCGAGTCTATCCGAGCCCCCGTGGTCTTGGGAGCGAGCTCAGAACTCCGTGGCAAAGGCTTGGGATCCTTTCTGGGTTGGTTTGGGTGTGCTGCGTGGGTCCGGCGGGTTGCAGGGAAGTGGGCGAATCTCCTCTCTCAAGGGCAGCTGTTCCTCTCTTGAATCGCTGTGATGCTGAGTAGTTTAGAAAGGGGAAGGCTTCTGGAGCCACGGGGTGCTCCCTTAGCCGTCGCACGGGGCTCGTGGGCCTGGGCTGCTGTGGCCCCGTGCGCTCAGAGCCCGCGGCACCCTCTGTGGGCTGACGCCGAGTGAGCGTTTCCTTGGCTCCCGCTTACCTGGTCTTCACAGCAGCCCTGACAGTGAAAACTCGGGAGAGGGACCTGCCGAGTCTGTGGAGCTGAGTCAGCGTTCAGCCCAGGTCCCGGCGAAAAAGAGCTGAGGTCAAGATTCGACGCAGTCTGCCGAATTCTCACGGCGCTGTTTCTTCTCATAAAGAAAGCCAGTTTATTTCTTAACGTCTCGTAAATCTAAATATCAGCCCGACTCATTACTATCCATGAGAACAAAATCAGACTTAGCAAAGTGGAATAGAAACAAGCCTGTGGACAGCCCTTCGCCTCCGGAGGTTGTTCAGAGCATAGTTTATGGGAGCACTGTCGCGACGGCCGTCAGCTAACGCGGCTGCCGAAACACGGCCCTGTCGGTTAGGCAGAATTCTTGCATTTTGAAACGCACCTATTTTTTATTTTAATGTTGGCCAGCAGAACGTCTTAAAATTCTGGTTCGAAGTTGGGGAAACAAAGGTCTTAACTCAAAAAGCCTTTTGTTGGATCACAGTTTTTCCTAACCCATCTGTCAATAAAAGGAGGCCAGAGAGCAAGAGGGAGCTATCCCGTGTTTGCCGGGTTGATCCTGCGTTCTAGGTTGGAGATAAGGGGCGAAGCAGAAGGTCAGGTCTGGGCCGCATTATTCTTTTTCATTACAGAGGTTGCTCCGTGGATAGCAACAGAACAAAGCTGTTAGTAGATGCTTACTCTGAACCGCCTGGACCAGGGCGAGGTGACAGCTTACACTCTCCTTGGAGTTGAACGTGAACCCTGATACAGAACTGTTCAGCCCGTCGGTTCTAGGTTTTTCCCCCTCTTTATTCATTATTCTGAGAGAAGTCATGCAGGAAAATTCAGTGCTGAAGTACCCCTCACTTTGTGGGGTGCCCGCACATAAATGCCAGGGTGGCCAGCAGGGGGCTCCAGCAGGGGCCGTGGTGTCTAGTGGGTGGGAGTCAGGGACGGCAAACATTCCGTGATACCCAGCACAACTACCCCAGCAGGAAGTATCCGCCCCCGATGTCAGTAGTTCCCGGGCTGAGAAAGCTTCCCGTGGCAGGGGACGTCCGTGGGATCCCCCCCCAAGGAAGAGTGTCACTGCCCTTCTGCGAGGCTGTGTGCTGTCATGTGCTTGGGACAGTGAGTACCACCTGTTGCTTGGCGGAGGTCCCCAGACAGACCTGGGAGTACCGGGTCTCTGCCACGGTTTTCATCTGGGAAACCTCACGGTGGGCCTGTCCTTCACGGCTCACGAGCTGCGTTACGTCACCGCTTGGCGAGCATTTGCATCTGCGTTCTCGTTTCACCCCAGGTCGTATGCTTGGCTCTCTCTGTTTGGTTACATGGAAAACTGAAGCACAGGTAGAGAGGGCACGTTCAGACTCACTGAGGCTCCTCCCAGGGCCCTGTCCTGGCGGCTTCACGCGTGCCGTCTCGTTAACCCCTCACCACGCTGTGGGGAAACTTTGCTTTTTGCCAGTCTGTGGACTCGCTGGCTGTGGCCCCAGTTGCCTACTCGGAGTCCGTTCTCCCACTGTACTCTGTTGTCTGCGCGGGCTGGGTCCACTCGGATGCAGTGCTGGTCTCAGGTCCTCCTGCACGGATTTAACAACTCAGTGAATGCTGGAGTGAAGTGAGTCTTCCTGCCTCTTCTTAACAAGCTTGGCCACGAGCTGCGAGGCTAACGTGGTAGAGAGGCACGCCACTGCGAGGGTGGCTACACTTGGTGCTGTTAGAAATGGCCTGGGAGGGCTGCTTCCCATCTCCGAGGGCGTCTGGACAGAGAGGGGGTCCTGGGGCTCTGAGTGGATTCTGAAAGGATTTCCCTTTCCCCTCTGAAGATTTTTTTTTTTTCTTTTAAGATTTATTATTTGAAAGTCAGAGTTAGAGAGAGTGAGAAATCTTCCGTCCACTGGTTCACTCCCCAGTTGCCTCAACAACTGGAGCTGGGCCAGTCCAGAGCCAGGAGCCAGGAGCCTCTTCTGGGTCTCCTCCATGGGTGCAGGGGCCCAAGGTCTAGGGCCACCTTCTGCTGCTGTCCAAGGTGCAGTAGCAGGGAGTGGAGCCGCTGGGACTCCAGCTGGTGCCTATGTGGGATGCCTGTGATGCAGGTGACCGCTTAGCCCAGGAGGCCACAGCGCCGGCCCCTCCAGTCTCAGTTCTGTCGCTACATCTGTGTTACGCTGGGCTCGAGCTCTGCCACCTGCCACCAAGCCTCACTTTGTTCACTTGTGAGGTGAGAACAGTGTCTGCCTCCCGGGTGGTAGCCATGGGTGTGGAATGGGTAGCACGGTGGGTGACCTCAGCTCCCAGTGAGTGGTGGCTGTGTTCCTGCCCCTCCTTCCCTTCCACACTCTTGTTTTCTGTGGCCGCCTTTGCTTTGTCGTCAGCAGCTGTAGTCTGATGTCGTGGGGGTGTCTTCTCATCATGTGAGCTTCTTCTTTTCGCTCTTTAATTACACAGGCAGGTGCTGGCCATCCACTCTGCACTTAAGGAGCCTGAAGTCCCCTGGTCCCCAAGCCCAGGCCTTCCCCAGGCACTGAGAGCTTTGAGTGTCCAGGCTTGGGCGGACCCGGCGACGGCGACTCCTCCCCCACCCTACGGTTTCGTGGCTGGGCAGCTCTAGCACCAGGCCCCTGCCCCGGGTCTAGCCAGCACTAGGTCAGTGCTGTGACTGCTGGCTGCATTTTTAACAGTGGAAGGGCTAGGGGCCTGCACAGCACTCAGAGACCATCAGCTGTGGGGGTGGAATTTTCTGGAGGCTCACGGGGGCAGCCTGACCCCCCTGAGTGGTTGGCTGCTTCATTAAGAGCTCAGGGTAACCCGGCTTAAACGCTGAGGCGATCTTCCTGCACCGATGGAAGGACTCTCTTTTCACCTGACACGCCTGGCCCCTTTCGAATGCCTGCCACTCCGTCCCCTCTTACACACCTGCTGACGGTTCTGTTCCCTCCCAGGCTTCTCACAGCGCCGCGGCATGGCCCTCCTCTTGCCAGGCTGACCCTGGCTTCAGCCGCACTCACTGCCCACAGCACGGAGCTTCCAGATTCCTGGGCTCCTCCGGCCGGCCGTGGGCGGGGACAGAGAGGCAGGGAGCCCTTGTGCCAGAGGTGGAGGAGCAGCTCCTGGCCTCTTGGAGACAGACAGTGAATAAGCAAATAGGTGGTGAGAGGAGAAAGATAAGGCCAGGCCAGAGGGGACCCAGAGACGGAGATGAGGCAGGAGCGCCCCTCCCCCCCAGGGAATCCCTCTCCTTGGATGGAGATGAGACAGGAGGGCCCCTCCCCCCCAGGGAATCCCTCTCCTTGGGTGGAGATGAGGCAGGAGCGCCCCTCCTCCCCAGGGAATCCCTCTCCTTGGGTGGAGATGAGACAGGAGGGCCCCTCCTCCCCAGGGAATCCCTCTCCTTGGATGGAGATGAGGCAGGAGGGCCCCTCCTCCCCAGGGAATCCCTCTCCTTGGATGGAGATGAGGCAGGAGCGCCCCTCCTCCCCGGGGAATCCCTCTCCTTGGGTGGAGATGAGACAGGAGGGCCCCTCCTCCCCGGGGAATCCCTCTCAATGGGTGGAGATGAGACAGGAGCGCCCCTCCCCCCCAGGGAATCCCTCTCCTTGGGTGGAGATGAGACAGGAGCGCCCCTCCCCCCCAGGGAATCCCTCTCCTTGGGTGGAGATGAGGCAGGAGCGCCCCTCCTCCCCAGGGAATCCCTCTCAATGGGTGGAGATGGGACAGGAGGGCCCCTCCCCCCCAGGGAATCCCTCTCCTTGGGTGGAGATGGGACAGGAGGGCCCCTCCTCCCCAGGGAATCCCTCTGCCTGGTGCATAGTCTGCCTTGGGGAGCAGCCACAGGGATAGTCCAGGTCTTGGAGAGTGGCTGACCATGGTTGATCACATTCCTGTATACACTTTCTTTTGATTCTCCTGTGGAATAAAAACCTCCACTATTGTAAATTTTTTTAAAATTTAAAATGACATTCCCCATCATTTTAGAAGAAAAGAACTATTGTTCATAATGACTTTTTATTAGAATCACATCTTTTTTGTGTATTCCTAGATTATATGTAACTGTCTTGAAGTCATCTTCTGGCCCTCCGTTGTTTTGGTTTAGCCTCTCTGAACTTCAGAGAGCCCACCAGTGGCAGTTCTCACACACGCACGCACACACATGCACACCTCTTTAATTCACACAACACCTGCAGTTGATCCTGTTTGAGTCGGCTGTCCATCTTTGGGTTTATTCCATAGATTTCACTTTTTCCTTTTTTTTTAAAGATTTATTTATTTATTTATTTGAAAAGTAGAGTTACACACACACACACACACACACAGAGGTCTTCCATCCACTGGTTCACTCCCCAGTTGGCCGCATTGGCCAAAGCTGAGCCAATCCAAAGCCAGGAGCTAGGAGCTTCTTCCGGGTCTACCACGCAGGTGCAGGGGCCCAAGGACTTGGGTCATCTGCTGCTGCTTTCCCAGGCCATAGCAGAGAGCTGGATGGGAAGTGGAGCAGCCGGGACTTGAACCAGCACCCATACGGGATGCTGGCGCTTCAGGTGGCAGCTTAACGCGCTTCGCCACAGTGCTGGCCCCGCCCATAGATTTCTCTTGCTTTACCTTCTTCCCCTGCTTGCCAGCTGGGACTTGGGTCTCTGAAATTAGGAGCAGAAGAGGGGGCGGTTGGAAGAGGGAGTAAAGAGGGTGTGGACACCTGTTGGCTGGAGCCTAAGGTCTCCACGCTGAGGAAGAAGAGCGTGGGTGGTGGTGTGGATGCTGGCAAGTGCAGGGTCCCTGTCTTCTCTTCCTCCTGGCTGGGCTTTCCTCAAAGCAGAGCCCCCCGGTGCTATGGGCATCGCTGCCTGAGCGGAAACGGGACTGTTGCCACCTGCTGCGCGTCCTCACCCGTTCACCCCGAGCGTCCCGCCCCTCTCACCAGGGCACTTCCAGATCCTTTGGGTATAGCTCATCATTGCACCCAGGGAGCTGCTGCGCCGGGATGGCCTTGTGGGAGTCGAAGGCGTCTTAGGGCCCTGGGTCTGCACCCTCACGCCCTGTGCAGCCGTCGCAGCCCCTCAGAGCTTTGAGAGAAAGGCCTGGGCTTCTGGAGACGTCTGCCCAGCTGTGGCCGAGACCCGGCCTAATCAGTCCTCCGCGCACTTCCTGGGGTTAGCAGTGCTGCCTCGGTGTGGGTTAGGAAGAGAAGTGGTTGTCAGGACCTCGGGGCCTGGGAAGGGAATCCGGGAATTTCTAAACACCCCTTTAGGCCCTCGGCCTTTGAGACGAGCCTCTGTCTCCCGATGGTGGTCCTTAGACAAACAGTCGGGCTCGGTTCCGGCAGCAAGAACCTTTTCCACTTGCATCAGCCTCAAGCTAGCTCACAGGAAACTGTATTTTGCTTTTTAAAAGTAGCTCTTTAATTTCTCTCCTCCCTCCTATGCGCAACACTCCCTTGCAGAATCTGAGCTGGCTGGAGGAGAAAGAGAAGGAGGTTGTCAGTGCCTTGCGCTACTTTAAGACCATTGTGGACAAAATGGCCATTGACAAGAAGGTCCTGGAGATGCTTCCGGGGTCGGCCAGCAAGGTGCTGGAGGCCATCCTGCCCCTGGTGCAGAGCGACCCGCGCATTCAGCACAGGTGAGTTGCTAGGTCCCGGCTGGGTGAGAGCAGGGGAAAGCCTGGGTGCCTCTTGTTGCGGGGGCACTAGGAGTCCAGCTGCCCCTCGACGTCAGCCCGAGCGGAGGTCGTCATGACTCCTGACCTGACGCTGAGGTGGGACGCTGCGGTCCTCACACGTTCTCCCGGTGCCCTTAGTCACTACCACGTCACCGCTGTGTGCCACGCCATCAGTCCTGCCCGGAGCTCAGAGCTCTCAGCTGCCAGGTGATCAGGCCAGAAGAAGCAGAGAGGACGCCTGCTGGAGCACGGGACGGGGAAAGACAGCCGTGCCACACCAGGGCCTCCGGAACGGTGAAGAAGGCAGTGCAGGGCGGGGAGCGGGAGTCGGGCTTTGTCCTGGCAGCTCTCACTGGGCAACGCTCTTACTGCTGGCGTGCGAGCAGCGTGCCCCGTTGGTTATTAAGTATGAAAAGGAAAACAGCGTGGAACAGACTCTTAGATGAAAGCCTAGCGGGAACCTGGTATTTGAGAGGCTGGCAGATAGTTTTTCTTCCACGGTACCTGTTCAGGAAAGTGCATCTGTTCCGATTCCCTGAGACGGCTTAGCGTTTGTTTAGCCCTGTGAGCTCAAGCTCTATGAAGGGCTTTCAGAACTTGGCGGTGAGGTAGCTGTTCTAGGAGGTAAAGCAAGCTGTGTCTTTACTTCTGTGAAACTCTCTGCCCCCAGGGCGTGCACCCTGGAGTTTCAGCCGAGCCCCGGGGATTGGCCAGGAGCTCACTGGCACTGACCGGTGGTGGACAGAGCACTGGTGTGGCTCAGTCCTGCAGTGCCTTCCCCTGGTCAGGCCAGAGCCCAGCTCGGCTCCTAGAAGGCCCCAGCACTGCTCTCTCTGGAGCAGACATGGCTGGTGTGCCACAGTCAGGTGCGCGGCTGGATTTTTTTTTTTTTTTTCAATAAAATATTCCCATGTACCTATTATCTCTCTCTCTCTTTTTTGGGGGGGGATTTATTTAATTATTTATTTATTTGAGAGGCAGAGGTTGAGAGATAGAGAATCTTTCATCTGCTGGTTCACCCCCCAGATGGCCACAATGACCAGAGCTGCGCTGATCCAAAGCCAGGAGCCAGGACCTTTTTCTAGGCCAGGTCTCCCATGTGGGTGCAGGGGCCCATCTTCTACTGCTTTCCCAGGCCATAGCAGAGAGCTGGATCGGAAGTGGAGTAGCCGGGATTTGAACCGGCGCCCATATGGGATGCCGGCACTGCAAGCTGCGGCTTAACCCACTACGCCACAGCGCTGGCCCCTTTGTACCTAATCTCATGTGATGGAGACAAAAGTAGAGAGTTAAAAGCTAGTTGAGAAAATAAGCTCCCCCACCATATGATAAAGAGCTGATTTAACAACATCGAGTGAATTTGAAGAAGGGAAGGTGGCCAGAGAGTTTTGAGTGGCCCGGCTGCACTTCCTGGAGTAGGAGTTACAGAAGCCTGGAGCTGAAGGAAAGCAGGAAGTGGACTGGCAGCGGGGCTGGGGCCGGGGCCGGGGCCGGGGAGGAAGGGAAGCAGAGGACTTGAGGCCCCCGGGCCTGGTGTTCTCGAGGAGGAGAGCGCAGAGTAGTGTGTGGCTGCCCCAGGGCGCTGGGAAAGGACGGTGGTGGCAAGAGGTCGGTCACCTGTCCGCCCCAGTCGCTTGGGGACAGTCCAGGGTGGAGGCACCTTGGCTAACTGCTGTGGCTGGCGGCGCGTCGTCCCCCGAGCCGTTGCTTGCTGGAGTGTCAGCCACAGGACGACGGCTGGGGAAGGTGTTCTTACAGTTGACAAAGTATTTGTGATCTGTAACCATTTCCTGGAGGAGAAAAGGGAGGTTCCTGGGGGCGGCCGTAGGAACAGTCTAGCATTTTTTTTTTCAGGTACTCCTTTGGCTGAGACCGTTCGAAGGCGTTTCCTTCTGAGATTCTGTTAGGGCAGTGGCGATGGTTTTGTCAGTGTCCCTGCGGCACCGGAAGTCCATCCTGGGGCTCCTCTTGGATCCTTTCTGTGGTGTCCCGCCTCCCGCCCTGCATCGTCTGAGCTGGCCGGGTTCTCCCTCCTCTCCTGCCGTCTGGGGCCTCGTGGGGAGGCTCCTGGCTACCCTCCCCTAGTTCCTAGGCCACTCTGGGACTGGCCTCCAACACGGGAGCTGCGTGGTCGGCACCCAGGGGCCCTGCCTTTGCTCTGCTAGAAAGAAGGCATCGCCTGGGCCCCGGCCCCCACCCCCTCTCCTCCCTTTCCTACGTCTCAGTCCCTCGACCCAAAAAGATTTTGCTTCCAAGCTGGTAATGTGAAGAGTGAGCACAACTGCCTCATGGGACTGTCCAGATCTAAGGCAGGTGGGAGTGAAGCGTTAAATAACAAAACCACTGGCCGGCGCCGCGGCTCACTAGGCTAATCCTCCGCCTAGCGGCGCCGGCACACCGGGTTCTAGTCCCGGTCGGGGCGCCGGATTCTGTCCCGGTTGCCCCTCTTCCAGGCCAGCTCTCTGCTGTGGCCAGGGAGTGCAGTGGAGGATGGCCCAGGTGCTTGGGCCCTGCACTCCATTGGAGACCAGGAGAAGCACCTTGCTCCTGGCTTCGGATCAGCACGGTGCGCCTGCCGCGGCGGCCACTGGGGGGTGAACCAATGGAAAAGGAAGACCTTTCTCTCTGTCTCTCTCTCTACTGTCCACTCTGCCTGTCAATTTTTTTAAAAAATAACAAAACCATCACCACCCCAGTTTCCACGTGATTATCGCCAGTACTTTAGCAGTGTGACACCTTGTGGAAGCCCCTACGCTGGGCACAGCCCTCTGGCAGCAGGCGGTTGAAGGAGGCCTCCCCAGGAAGCAGAGCGCGTCCTGCTGCAAGCGCTGTGCCTGGGGCTGAGGGCCCCTCCGGCCCACCCTCTGGCTCCCGCAGCTGATCCCTGGCTGCCTGGGCCCTGTGCCAGCTTCCCTCGTGCCCAGTGGCAGTGCTGGAGTTGGGTGTGCTGGCTGCTCTCCGGTTGGAACACGCTTGCAGGAGAATGCATCTACTGGAGAGAGGAGAGCCCTTGGGAGCACTGCTCCCTCCTCGCCTGACTCTGAAGGGCGGCTCGCTGGGGCCCGTTGGGTTCAGGTGTCTGTCTCGCAGGGCTCCGTGTTGAGAGCACATTTAGATCGCATCTTACAACGCAGGCAGTTTCCTGCAGGTGTGTCTTCAGCGTCTTCCTGCCTCTTTTTTTCTCTCTCCCTGGGAGTGGACGAGGCAGCAACACAGATTTTCTTTTTGCTTTTCCTCTGTGACAGAACTCTTGAAATAGAAAACTAATTATTCCAAAACTCCTAAGGAAAATTATCCTTCTTTGTTTAAATATATGTAGCAGGAATAGAGGTGTTGTGGGTTTTTTTTGCTGGTTTTTTTTTTTTTTTTTTTTTTTTTTTTTTTTACAGGCAGAGTGGATAGTGAGAGAGAGACAGAGAGAAAGGTCTTCCTCTTGCCGTTGGTTCACCCTCCAATGGCCGCCACGGCGGGCGCGCTGCAGCCGGCGCACTGCGCTGATCCGAAGGCAGGAGCCAGGTGCTTCTCCTGGTCTCCCATGGGGTACAGGGCCCAAGCACTTGGGTCATCCTCCACTGCACTCCCGGGCCACAGCAGAGAGCTGGCCTGGAAGAGGGGCAACTGGGACAGAATCCGGCGCTCCGACCGGGACTAGAACCCGGTATGCTGGTGCCACAAGGGGGAGGATTAGCCTATTGAGCCGCGGCGCCGGCCAGGAATAGAGTTTTCGTTTTGGCTGCCACCCGAGGCACCCCCACGCACTCGGCTTCTGTTCTGTGCTGTTGGACCGGAAGCCGACACCTTGCCCCTAGCACACACGCACACACCCGCCCGCATCCCCACCACCGTTGCAGTCGTCCTGCCCCTGACTGCCCACTCGAAACAGTCGTCATGAGTGCGTCTCCCTGACACCGCGGCTGCGGTGAAGCCGAGCCTGTGCTAAGAGTGGTTCCCGTGAAGCACCGATGTGTTTTGGGCTTGGGGCCCTTCCTCTGAAGGACCCTGCCTGTCGAAGCCCCGCAGACTCACGGGCTTCCTGTGATGCATCCAAGATGCGTTTTAGTCAAAATAAGAGGCACGTGACGTTTGCCCGAGTCCAGTGACTAACCCGTCAGGGGAGGGGAAGATGGAACATTCCTTGAGAAATGCTGTCAGAATCTGGGGGAGGGATGTGAAGTTTGGGAAGCCTCATTAACTACTGTGATGGAATCTTTATGTAAACATTTTTAACAGATCAGAATATAAAGTTCCGCGATATCTTCATTGGATGCAAAGAGGAAAGGTTGGGAGAGAAGTTTCATTTATTGGAAGGAGATGTGGTTTCACAAAACCAGACTGAGAAACTGCTTCTGTGCCCAGTGATGTCTTTTTTTTTTTTTTTTTAAGTGATGGTTATGCTTAGTTTTCTGTGTGTGTGTGTTTTGTTTTAAAAAATAAAAAACCTTCTCTTCCTCCTAGCTCAGCCCTCTCCTCCTGCTACAGCCGAGTGTACCAGAGTCTCGCCAACCTCATCCGCTGGTCTGACCAGGTGATGCTGGAAGGCGTGAACTCAGAAGATAAAGAGACGGTGACGACCGTGAAGGGGGTCATCAAGGCTGTGCTGGACGGAGTGAAGGTACGGGGCGTGGGTTCCCGCAGTCCTGGTCAGGGACTCAGGGCGGCTGCCTGCCAGGCGCTGATCCCTCAAGAACTCGTCCGTGAACGCGATCCATGCAGTGAGCGTCCTGCCACGTCTCTGCCCGGCCGCCGCTGGCCTCTCTCAGGACCGGTGCCGTGGCGCTCAGCCTCCGCAGCGCTTGCCCAGAGCCAGAGGAGCAGCGCCGTCAGCCCCGCTGAGCTTTGGAAGCCTCAGTGAGTGCTCCCGTGGCCCAGCTCCGACTAGCCAGACAAACAGGAGTGCAGGTGGTTCTTGCCTGGACTGCTAACGAAGCTCCCAGCTGTCAACTGCTACCTTTGCATGTTCTAGAAACTTCCAGGGTTCCTGTAGAAAAGCGGGGTTGAGACGAGTAAGAAATGAAACTCTGCGCTCACTTGCTGTCTGTGATGTGGTCTGCATCTTTGCTCTCCAGGCAAGTCAGAGACACAATTAGGAAATTAGGAGTCATGGTTAAGGTGGGAAACAGCGACCATGGGCGGTCTGGGCCCAGGGGACAGACGCCCACTGAGAAGTGAGTCCTAGGGGATGAGGAGCAAGACAGGCTCTGGCCCACGAAACAGGTGGGACCCTGTCAGGAGGTAGGGCTGTGGGCCGCGGAAATGCTTCATGCAGTGCAAAGAGGCGGCCAGCCCTGGAGCCTGGCTCGGTCAGAACCCCAAGGTCACCATTTCCTGTTCTCTGAACTTGAACAGTGCACTCGGTGCTGTGTGCCTGAGTCGACTGTAGCACAGACGCAGTGACAGCACCGTGCGTGACTGCTGCAGGAGGATAACACTCTTGGCCCAAGGCCTACACACCCTGAGCTCCCCGGCCCTAGCCGCTGTTTGTTATTCATTGTGTGGTGCTGGATGCATGCCTTGTAAACACATCTGTTGGCTCGAAGAAACCATATCCCACTCCTTTAGCGGCCCTTCAATCCAAAATGACAGCTGAAGTACTTATCCCAGGCTAAAATTCCTTCCAATCAATCAGGCCCTCAGACTCCTAAAAACGGCCTCAGAAGCTGTGCAGAGTAGAATAAGAACCCCGAAGGTTTAAATTGCCAAGAGAAGACTACGCAAGCCTTGCTTTGCGTCACAGAGTGCCCAGGAATGAGCGCTGTTAGCTGGAGGTCTTGGCCCCACATCCAGCGCCAGCGCAGTGGGAGCCGATGGCTCTGCTGGGGACGTGAGGTCATTTAGAGGGAGGCTGAACGGACGACGACATTAGTCTCCTCTGACAGCTCCCATGTTCTCATTCCAAGTTACTCGGTCCTCCGTTATCAGTTTTGGCTGTTAGGTTGGCCAGTGAGACTTACGGGTGTGGGTGGCTGTTGCTAAGACCCGGGTCTCTTTCCAGAATTTGGAACGCAGTCACATGCATCCTCCCATTCAGCCCTCGGCAGCTCCTCGAGGTCGGCGGGGCTGAGCGTGACCCGGCTCACACTCCGTCAGCACCGTCGCGTGGTTCTGGCTCACCTGCCCTTGCTTTCCTGGCTGGACTTCTGGAAATGCTATTATTGAAAATTATTTTTTGGGTGACATCATTAAGGTTTCTGTCTACCAAACTGATTCTGGTGAGATACTCAAAACAAGTTAGAATGGCCGAAGCAGAGGAGCTGGGTTTCCGTGCGTAAAACCCTGTGATGCCCCCAGGTAGGTTTCCTTCATACGATCTCTAAAGTGCCATCGAATCCGTTGAAAGGCATGCCAGAAAGAAAAACGTATCTGGTGGCAGAGAGAGAGAGACAGAGAGACGGAAACTACTTGAGCCAGAAAAGGCGTCGGCGTCTCTCGGTGAGGGACACCATGCGTCCAGTCTGCCTTCCTTTGTTCAGAAAGTGCTCGTGAGCGCCCCCTCTGTGCGTGTCGGGGCGAGCAGGCCGCACGTGAGCGCCCCCTCTGTGCGTGTCGGGGCGAGCAGGCCGCTCGTGAGCGCCCCCTCTGTGCGTGTCGGGGCGAGCAGGCCGCTCGTGAGCGCCCCCTCTGTGCGTGTCGGGGCGAGCAGGCCGCACGTGAGCGCCCCCTCTGCGTGTCGGGGCGAGCAGGCCACTCGTGAGCGCCCCCTCTGTGCGTGTCGGGGCGAGCAGGCCGCTCGTGAGCGCCCCCCTCTGTGCGTGTCGGGGCGAGCAGGCCGCTCGTGAGCTTGCAGCTCAGGGAGGAGGGGCCTCAAAGCGAACACAGCAGCAGTGCAGTCGAGCGCTGCAAAGGAAACGCGGCGCCAGGTATTTTGAGCGTGTCCAGAGAGCCTGCCTGTTCCAGGGTGGCCAGAGACACTCCCCCAAGGAAGAGCCAGGCAGGAAGTGGGCTATCGATGGCCTCGATCGATGCTGCCGTGTGCTGTCAAGGTCTAGTAGTAGTAGCGGCTAACACTCGCTGAATGGTTTCTATGCATCACTCCCACTTGGTGCCCCGGAGCCGTGCTCACAACAACCCTGCAGGGGAGGCATGACCACTCTTCACAGGTGTGGAAAACGAGGCACAGGTAGACCAGTAGTCAGACCAGGAAGGTCGTGATTTGCACACAGCTCTGCTGGGCACCTCGGCCCCGTGCACCGATGTCACACACACACCCCCACCTCCCACGAGGAGTGTGGTTCTCGGGTCAGCCCAGCTGGTTCTCTGGCTTCCAGCCTCCCTCACTGTCCCCGTCCGCCCTGGGATACCTTATAAGCCCATGTCCCGGGGAGAGAGAGCCGCCCTTGGCTGGGAGGGACGGCTGTGCAGAGCAGAAGTGCGCCCACGGGATGTCGTCACCTCTCGGAGGAGCCGAGTTGGCACGTTGCTTTAAGCTGACTCACCATCTCAAGCCGCTCATTCAGTTGTTACCGGTTTCTCTCTCTCTCTCTCTTTTTTTTTTTTTTTTAAAGAAGGATTGAAAAAAAGTGTTTTAAAACAGGATTACTTTGGTTTTCTCCCTCGTTGGTAGTATTACTTCTCATTTAAACGCCCCGTAAGCAATGTCACCGTGGACAAGCTGCTTCTCTGAGGCTCAAGAAGGTTTGAAAATGTTGACCCTGAATATTTGAGGACGGATTAAGTAAGATAGTGTGTGTGTGTGTGTGTGTGTGTGTGTAAAATACCTGGAGAGCCTGGGCCAGCGTGTCTGCTGTGGAATGTTAACTCCCAGCAGCTCACACCGGCCAGTCCTTGACGGTGGTTATGGTTCTTCTCCAGGGAATCTTAAAACTCTGAGGTCAGATCTGAACCTGGCTGCTTTTCCACCGTGGGTCTCTGGCTCAGCGGTGACAGTGACCCTCATAGGACCGAAGTCTGAGGGCTGGAAGGGCCCTCAGCGCTTGTTTCTCTAGGAACTACACCCAGCCCGGACCTGGCTGTTGGGAGACCGAGCCACACAAGGGTCCAGTTTGTCTTTTTAAAACCAGCACCCCACTTCTTCCCTCACTTCTAGTTGGATTTCAGTGTCTCCCTACACTCGGGCTGTGCTTGGCCTTCTGGGAGTGTCAAAGCTTCCTTGCACATCTCCCATATTCAGCCGAGCCTCTTCCCCCAGCCTCCAGCTACATGTGCACACACACACACACACACACACACACCAATTTTTTGGTAATTAAGGGAAAAGGCCTGGAACAGTTAAGAAGCCCACACACCCTATTGGAGTACCTGGGTTAAAGCCTAGATCTGGTTCCTGACTCCAGCTCCCTGCCAGTGCAGACCCTGGGAGGCAGCAAGTGACGGCTCAAGTAGTTTATTTTGCGAGGCAGACAGACAGACAGACGAGCTCTCATCCACTGGCTTACTCCCCAAATGCCCACACTGGCCAGGGCCAAAGCTAGGAATGAAATCTAGGTCACCCATGTGGGTGGCAGGAACCCAACTAACTGAACCATTATCACTGCATCCCGGGGTCTGCACTCACAGGAAGCTGGAGTCAGGAGCTAGAACCAGGCATCAAAGCCAAGTCCTCCAGTGTGGGGTGCAGGTGTCCTAACCACCAAACTAAACCCCTCTCCCCAAAAAGAGATCCCTTTACGTCTCCATCAAAACAAGTCCTGGCCGGTGCCGCGGCTCACTAGGCTAATCCTCCGCCTTGCGGCGTCGGCACACCGGGTTCTAGTCCCGGTCGGGGCGCCAGATTCTGTCCCGGTTGCCCCTCTTCCAGTCCAGCTCTCTGCTGTGGCCAGGGAGTGCAGTGGAGGATGACCCAAGTGCTTGGGCCTTGCACCCCATGGGAGACCAGGATAAGTACCTGGCTCCTGCCATCGGATCAGCGTGGTGGGCTGGCCGCAGCACGCCGACCGCGGCGGCCATTGGAGGGTGAACCAACGGCAAAAGGAAGACCTTTCTCTCTGTCTCTCTCTCTCACTGTCCACTCTGCCTGTCAAAAAAAAAAAAAAAGTCCTGGTGGGGTTGGACAGCCCTGAGATTTCATTATGCAGTGTCAGTTACGGGGGCACCCCCGCCCCTGCGCCATGTGTTTGTTGGCTTATATTCTGTGTGTTTGGTGAGCAGACTGTATCCGGGGCATCTGTGGAACTTGTCAGAAGGACTAACGGATAGAGGGGTCATGTCAGGTCCATGACACATGCTTCCCTGGGCTCTGGGACCTGCACCCCGGACACTCACAGAGCCAGAGAGGACGTGAGCAGCCGTGGAAGGCCGCGGGCTGAGGCGCTGGGCTCGTCAGGGCGACGCGGTTTCCCTTAGTGAAGCTGCATCTCAGCTCCCGTGCTGTCGTGTCCCTGGGACCTCACGGTGCACATCTTAGAAAGCCAACGCCGCCCAGACACGGCGCAGGGCGCACTTCCCGGCAGGGCGTGGCTTCTCTCCCAGGCACAGGGCTGCATCGCAGCACCGAGGACAAAGCGTCAAGGGGGACAGCACAGCAATGCTTGCACTGGACAGCGAAGCCCTTCTGTCACTAGGATTGTTTCAGGACCTGGAAGGTGAATATGGAAAGAAGCTCATCCATTCTTAAAGATACTGTTCCAGATACCATTTTTGGCATTTGAAAGCTCATTTTCAGCATTCCGGGAGCCGGTCTGGTTGACAGTCACTGGCTGTAGACACAGTCTAGAGCAGCCTCTCAGACTCTAAGCAGTTCCTCGCGGCGGTGAGAAGGCAGCGTTACAGGTGGTCCCTGCCCGTGAGCACAGTAGCCAGGTGTGTGCACGTTTCCAGGGCCCCCCTCCATCTGTGGTCGTTAGGGCGAGTTGAGACTAAAGGCCTTCTGTCTCCGCGGGCTCCAGCCGGCAGGCCGGTGCAAGGGCGGTTCTCGGAGTTCAGGGGCACGCTTGCACATGTGCGCCTGTCGGTCCAGGATTCTTCTGCCATCATTCATTAGCTGCATTCGCAGCTGCCTCTCCAGCAAGATGACAGTCTAATTATAATTGCTCACGAATCAGTGAAAAATCGGTCGAGCTGTTCCCACGTCAGTGGCTGCGAGTGCCCAGACTTCTCTGTTCTTTGACCCCATTTGGAAAGAAGAGTGAACCTTGAAAGTGGGCTTCCACTTTCTGACGCCTGTGACCCTCGGAGGCCGTGGTGCTTCCAGGACGAGCTTCCTCTCCCTGCTTCATCCAGGCGATGGGGGGCGGGAGCCCTCTGCTCTGACTGCTGTCTGCTCTGGTTACGTCTCTCATCCCTCCACCTTGTCCTGTCTGTAGTCAACAACCAGGCAGCCATTCCTTCCATAGGAAATTCTATGTGTTTATTTATCTTTATTTAAGAGACAGAGACAGACCTCCCATCTGCTACTCCACTCCACAGATACCTGCCAAAGCATGGGCTGGTCCAGGCAGGAGCCAGGCTCCATCCAGATCTCCCCCAAGAGTGGCAGGAGCCCAGCCATCTGGGCCGTCATCTGCTGTCTCCCAGACACGTTAGCAGGAAGCTGGATCAGAAGCACAGAGCAGCCTGGACTGAGTCCCAGGCACTGCAGTGTGGGAAAGCGCCATCGGACACAGCAGCTTAGCCTGCTGCACCACAACAGCTGCCCCTGTGTGTACGCCCTTACTGGGGGGGGAGGGGGGGTGCTTAATTATTTCAGAAATAACGCACACTTGAAAATTTAGAAAATGCAAAGAAAAAAACAAGAGGAGGGGTATTTCATAGCCTTCTGTTGTTTTTTATACTCTCAATTTGGTTTTGTTTCCAAAGCATACATTATACTGTGTATAATGCACCCATATGGGGTGCCGGTGCGCAGGCAGCAGCTTCGTCCACTATGCCACAGCTCCGTCCCTGTGGCTCTGTTGTGAATAGCAGTATGGTGATCTACTGCTTGGGTGTCATGGCTGAAGTATTTATAATACTTAATATTATAGAATATTCCGTTTGGGGATATTGAGTAGTCTAATCTCGTTTGCATTTGCTGTGATGGCTATCCTTTGTGGCTTAAATTTTTAAAATTTGTCTTTCAAAGATTTATTTATTTGTCTGAAAGAGTTATATAGAAAGAGACAGAGATCTTCCATGCACTGGCTCACTCCCCAGATGGCCACACGGCTGGTACTGGGCCAGGCTGAAGCCAGGAGCCAGGAGCTTCTTCCAGCTCTCCCACATGGGTGCAGAGGCCCAAGCACTTGGACCCCCCTCCACTGCTTTCCCAGGCACATTAGCGGGGAGCTGCATCGGAAGCGGAGCAGCCAGGACTCAAGCTGGCGCCCATATGGGATGCCAGTGCTGCATAGAGCAGCTGAACCCACTGTGCCGCGGCGCTGGCCGCATATATTTTTTTTAATTTTTATTTATTTGTTTGAGAGACAGAGAGCCAAACAGAGGGAGGGTTTTCATCTGTTGGTTCGCACGCTGGTGCCCACAGCAGCCAGCTCATGGAGCTGGAAGCTGAGAACCCAGTCCAGGTCTCCTACACGAGTGGCAGGAACCAAGTTACAGGAGTCGTCACTCTGCCTCCCAGGGTGTACCCATCCAGGGCACACTCACAGTGAGAGAAGTGTGTTGCACCCATCCAGGGCACACTCAGAGTGGGGAGGAGGTGGTGGTGCACCCATCCAGGGCACACTCAGAGTGGGGAGGAGGTGGTGGTGCACCCATCCAGGACACACAGTGGGGAGGAGGTGGTGGTACACCCATCCAGGGCACACCCAGTGGGGAGGAGGTGGTGGTGCACCCATCCAGGGCACACTCAGAGTGGGGAGGAGGTGGTGGTGCACCCATCCAGGGCACACTCAGAGTGGGGAGGAGGTGGCGGTGCACCCATCCAGGGCACACTCAGAGTGGGAAGGAGGTGGCGGTGCACCCATCCAGGGCACACTCAGAGTGGGGAGGAGGTGGTGGTGCACCCATCCAGGGCACACTCAGAGTGGGGAGGAGGTGGTGGTGCACCCATCCAGGACACACTCACAGTGGGGAGGAGGTGGTGGTGCATCCATCCAGGACATACTCACAGTGGGGAGGAAGTGCTGGTGCATCCACACTCAGCAGTGGGGAGGAATGGACTGCTCATACACACGAGTGTGGCTTTTCCCACTGAGCAGAAGACGGACAAGACAGGCAGGTCTGTGGAGACGGAAATCCACTGAGTGGTTGTCAGGGACTGGGAGTGTGAGGGGTCTACAGGTGAGTGCTGAGTTTGCGTTGGGGTTGTTGAAAAGTCCTAAATAAACTAAAAACCGCTGAATTGTACACTTTGAATTGGTGAATTTTAGGGCATTTGGATCGTATGTCCTTGAAGTTGAGACAAGATGGACAGAAACGTGTACGAACCACCCAGTTCCATTTACAGTGATTTCTGGAACAGACAAGAGTGATCTGGGGTGTCAGAAGTAACAGTGAGGCCCACGTCGGGGTGCAATGGTTAAGCCACCACCTGGGTCGCCGGCGCAGCGGTTGAGCCGCTGCTTGCATCGCCAGCATCCCATGTTGGAGTGCTGGTCAGAGGGTCAGCTGCTCTGTTTCTGGCCCATCTTCCTGCTGATGCACCTGGCAAGGCAGAAGTTGATGGCGCAAGTCCTTGAGTCCCTGCCAGGCTTGTGGGAGACTCGGGGTGTTCTTGGCTCCTGGTTTCAGCCTGGCCATTTGAGGAATGAACCAGCAGACAGAAAATCTTTCTCTCTCTCTCTCCTTGGTCTTGCTCTCACTCTGCTTTCCAAATAAATCGTGCAAAAGCAAAACCAAGTGGTTGGAGATTCGTGATCTGTATTTTTGAGTGGTGTTTACACACGTATATGCAGTTGTTAAAACTCATCAAGCTGGGGGGAAACGCATTCTAACTGGGAAAAAACATGGAGACTCTCGTTGCTTCCCTTTATTTGGTTCTGGTTTGATGATGCCTTTTTTTCTATTGTAATGTTTCTGAAACTATTCCTCTGCCGGGTGGTATGCCCTTCCCCCACTGCCCACTGACGGAGACGGCAGCCCAGTACCTGCAGGTCCCCTGCTGCTGCCCCACGGCCATGGCCAGTGCACACTGGGAAAGCACGCAGGGCTGCAGGTCGGGGGGTGGAAGGCGTTGTCGTGCGTGTAGCCAGCAGGCTCCAGAGAACTAGAAACGTCACCCTTTGCCCGCAGACGGGGAACCTGCCCTCCCAGGGACTTCACGTGTGCGATAGACTTGGCCATCTTGAGACAATGGTTTGCCATTTCCCCTTCCAACAGGAAGGTCCTTCATGCTTCTGAAACTCTGTGTTGTACTGCAGAGATATTTTTGGAGGGCAGGGGACGTTTGGGGAAGTCGTCTAGCTGACTTCAGACAGGTCACCCTTGAAGTCCCGGTGCGTGAGAAGCCTGCGGCAGACGGCAGGCCGCCTTCTAGCGGAAGCCCAGCGCAGACAGGAATTGCGCTCACCGCCTTTCTCTTGTTCGCTGCAGGAGCTGGTCAGACTGACCGTCGAGAAGCAGGGGCGGCCGTCTCCAACAAGCCCAGTGAAGGCCAGCTCCCCGGCCGGCAGACCTGATGGGTGAGTGCTGAGCAGACCCTCGTCCTGGTCCCAGCTGGGCAGAGCCTGCCCTTGACAGCGGGTAGGAGCTGGCGGGCAGCAGGAGCCCACCAGACGGGCTGGCGGGGCCACGTTCCCGTCTCTGTGCTGAGTTCAGAGCGCACACCGGCTACCTGACAGTCTGTATTCCTCACAAGCTCTGAAGTACTGCCTCAGCCATGTCTCGTGCGACATCCCACACGGCCATTCTGTCTGGCGTGTGTCCGTGTGGAGGCCCAGGTGCGGCTCCTGGCTTCAGCCTGACTGGCCCTGGGTCTGGAGAGTGAGCTAACGGATAGGAGACTCTCTTTCTCTGTCTCTCCCCCTCTTTCTCTCTGTAACTCTGATTTTCAAAATAAATACTAAGTATGGTGTGTGTGAGTGTGAGTGTGTGTGAGTGTGAGTGTGTGTCCAGTGACACACACGTGCCCTTCCTGAGTGGCCTCACTTCATGGTTACAGAGAACTCTGAGGGCCTGGATTTGGGCAGATTGCACTTGAAGGCACTTGGGGCCTTTTTTTTTTTTTTTTTTTTAAGATGTATGTATTTATTTGAAAGGCAGAGAGAGAGAGTGAACTTCACCTGCTGGTTTACTTTCTGGATGACTGCAAAGGCTGGGGCTGGTCCAGACCAAAGCCAGGAGCCCTGAGCTCCAGCTGGGTCTCCTGTATGGGCAGCAAGGGCCCACGTACTCTGGCCGTGTTGCACCATCTTCCACGGCGCATTAACAGGGAGCTGGATCAGAAGCAGAGCAGCTGGAACCCCGATATGGGATGCCAGCATTGCATGCGACGGCTTAGCTCACTGCACCACAGTGCTGGCCCCATTTTTCATCTTTTAACATTGACTTTATCAAGAGCATAAGCCGAGGGCAACGTGGAATGTTTTAAAGCCTCGCACCAGTTTCTGCTCCAAGCCCCTGGTAAAAATGTAGAACCTTAATTTGGAGCATGTTAGGGGACCTTTAGATCATCTGGTCTAAGAACTCCTTTTCAGGTGAGGGTGGAGGTCATGGCCAAGCTCACGTGGCTGCCAGTGGTAAAGCCGTGAGAGGGTCCAGCATCGAGGCTCCAGCCTCCCATATCAGGGTGCTGGTTCGAGTCCCAGCTGCTCTGCTTCCCATCCAGCTCTCTGCGAATGCCCTGGGAGGCAGCAGTGACGGCCCAAGTGCTTGGGCCCTGCCGTCCACACGGGAGACTGGGATGGAGCTCTGGGCCCCGGCCTCGGCTTGGAGTAGCTCCACCCAGTCAGCCATTTAGGAAGTGAACCAGCAGGTGGAAGATTGATCCCCACCCCACCCCCCGACTGTCACTCTGCCTCTCAAATAAGTAAAATCTTAAAAAAAAAAAAAAGCCAGTGAAGTCTCCCCGGGCTGTGCCGGCCCCTGCTCCTCCCCTCCCTGGTCGTGTCCTCGCACTCTTACAAAACCTGCGTGCTCTGCTCCCGTCTGACCCCGGTGACCCTGAGTTCTCTCCAATTCTGCAGCCAGTCCGAGCTGCCCCTGACAGACCGAGAGATGGAGATTCTGAGCAAGACGAGTGGGGTGCCACAGCCAGGGGGGCTGCTCCCGGACACCGCAGACGAAGAGGTCGCGCCCCCCAAGCCCCCCTTACCCGGCATCCGGGTGGTTGATAGGTAACGGTCTTCCTGCTTGTCTAGGACCCTGCGTCTGTGATGTGATAGGGGGACGAGCGGGGCTCCGGCTCCTACGGCTTGGCACTCAGGAGAGCACCTCTGCCTGCCCCAGGGCCCCGCCACACCCGCAAGTGCTCCTCGCTCTGGCCTCTGCGTGCGCTGTGGCCCCAGCCCTGTGAAAGCTGGAGCGATGTATTCTAAGAGGAGGGAGAGGGTGGGGGTGATGTCTGTTCTTTTGGCATTTATGGGCTAGATTTTGGCAGGCAAGGCGAGGGCTGAGGGGTCGAGGTGTGGAAACTGGAGAGTTGGGTGTGGAAGCGCGGAACCCCGTTACCTGATGGTGTCCGTCATGTTCGTGTGTTGCAGTCCACCGGCGTTGCCACCCAAGAAAAGACAGTCAGCTCCGTCCCCAACCCGCGTGGCCGTGGTCGCCCCCATGAGTCGAGCCACCAGCGGTTCCAGTTTGCCTGTTGGAATTAATAGGCAGGTAATTCAGCCCTGTTCCCCACAGCGAGAGGCAAGCAGGTTTGGGATCAGAGGTTTGGCTCCTAGAGCCAGAAGAAACCTAGTGTCTTGGAGAGACTCTCTGTGGGAGGGGTGAGGCTTAGCATCTTCGTGGTCATGGCGGGGGTTCCCGTGTGGGGCTGGGGCCGTGCTGGGGAGGCTGGAGCCGAAGGGGCCTCACCTGAGGGCACCTCCCCGGCCACCCACCCCTGCTGGCCCCTCTGTCGTCTGAACGGTGACCACAGCTGGTGTCAGCTTGGCAGTGTTTCCTTCTCTAAGTCTCGTCCCGAGGGTGACAGGCTTGTTCCGCTCTGCCACACCAGGATTTCGACGTTGACTGTTACGCACAGAGGCGACTTTCGGGAGGCAGCCACTCCTACGGCGGGGAGTCGCCCCGCCTCTCCCCCTGCGGCAGCATCGGCAAGCTCAGCAAGTCGGATGAGCAGCTGTCGTCCCTGGACAGGGACAGCGGGCAGTGCTCCCGGAACACAAGCTGTGAAACACTAGGTGAGCCCCGTCATCCTTGTGCCTCCTTCCCCGGGGCTAGGGCCCGAGTGCCGGATAGCGGCCATCGTGGTGCACGGTGAGAGCAGTACCTGTCCCTCAGGCTTGAAAGCGTGAGTGGAACAACGTGAACCACGTTGTGGAGACGCAGGTGGTAGCCGTCTCCACAGGCAGTGTCCGTGTGAAGCTGGACTCTGCCGCCTGTGCCCAGAGCCTTGACGAAGGGCAGCCCCGCGGGCCGTGCCGCCTGTGCCTCGTCAGCCGCTCCCGGTCTGTGGGGTGGCTCCAGGGCACACACAGCACGGAGCCGTCCGTGTCCCCTGAATGAGTGATTCTCGTTTCTCAAGCCGTATCCTAAGAACATAATCAGATTTATAGCAAGGGCTTTGTCCAAGGACGTTGGTCTCAGCATCACCGGGAGCAATGATAGAAGGCAGATACCCTGAACATCATGGCAGGAGTCAGGCGAACCGTGATGCGTCCATTTGCTGGAGTAATCTCGGCACTATTAAAAATCACGCTATATTGACAAGGACAAAAAGCCCAAAACCATTCACATGCTGTTTTCTCAGCTGGGTTTAAAAAGTGGCAAGGGGTGCAGTGGGGTGGGTTCCAGAGGGGGACAAAAAGATATTTAAGAAAATAGATAAAGATAGGAACAGATTCTGGGATTCTGGGTGGTGTTTATTTTCTTGATAAAGTTTGCCATTTTTCTGTGGTAGTCATGTGTTTTTCTTTTGAAAGGGAGAAGGCTTTTTTTTATTTCATTTTTATTCTTTTTAATTTGAATGGCAGAGAGACAGACAGACAGATCTTCCATCTACTGGTTTACTCCCCAAATGCCCGCAATAACTAAGGCCCAAAGCCAGGAGCCTGGAACTCAATCCAAGCTTCCGTGTAGGTGGCAGGGGCCCAAACTATGACCTGCTTCCTTGCGAGGTGTCCATCACCTGGAATGGAGGGGACTCAAACCCAGGCCCTCTGATGCGGGACAGTGACTTCCCAAGCAGCGCCAGCCACTGCACGTGCCCTTCCCCCGTGTTTGTCTTAAGTAAGAAATTAAAAAGGAAGGTGTGGGCTGGCGCCATGGCTCACTAGGCTAATCCTCCGCCTTGCGGCGCCGGCACACCGGGTTCTAGTCCTGGTCGGGGCGCCGGATTCTGTCCCGGTTGCCCCTCTTCCAGGCCAGCCCTCTGCTGTGGCCAGGAAGGCAGTGGAGGATGGCGCAAGTGCTTGGGCCCTGCACCCCATGGGAGACCAGGAGAAGCACCTGGCTCCTGCCATCAGATCAGTGCGGTGCACCAGCTGCAGTGGCCATTGGAGGCTGAACCAATGGCAAAGGAAGACCTTTCTCTCTGTCTCTCTCTCTCACTGTCCACTCTGCCTGTCAGGAAAAAAAAAAAAGGAAGGTGCGAGGAACACTGCAGCAAGTGGCCGTGCCCCCGTCTGTTTTGCTTTGCAGGCAGAAGGAAGAGGCTCAGAGAGTGTGAGAGCCTGTGTGCGTGGGCCGGAGGGCTCTCCTCCTGCTCTCTGGGGAGACCGGGCAGGGCGGCCAGGGCGGGGCCCCGTCTCCAGGGCCGTGCGCCTCACGGGTCTTGTTCCCTCTGTGATTGCAGATCATTACGATCCCGACTATGAATTCCTCCAGCAAGACCTCTCCAACGCGGACCAGATACCTCAGCAAGTGGCCTGTAACCTTAGCCCGCTGCCGGAGTCCTTGGGGGAGTCTGGGTCTCCGTTTCTTGGCCGTCCATTCCAGCTGCCTCTTGGCAGCTGTCCCCAGACGGAGGGGCAGCCGAGCGACATGCCGCCCGCCCTCCCCGAGAAGAAGCGCCGGAGCGCAGCCTCCCAGACCACGGACAGCTCCGGCTGCAGGGTGTCCTACGAGCGGCACCCCTCGCAGTACGACAACCTCTCCCAGGACGACCTGCAGAACCCAGCCCCGGGCCAGCCCGCCCCCTACACGCCCTTCGCTGCTATCCTCCCCTTCCAGCAAGGAGCGGCCTCAGCCCCTGTGGAATTTGTGGGTGATTTCACTGCTCCTGAATCCACGGGCGACCCAGAAAAGCCGCCGCCTCTGCCAGAGAAGAAAAACAAACACAGTAAGCATTTGCGGAGCTGGTGTCAGCAAGTGCGTGTGTAACCTAACGTAGGGCGCGTTTCTGTAAGCCTCAGACCAAGCCTCACTGTCTCAGGACAGACAGGACCACAGGGACCTGGCCACTTGGGGGAGCCTGGTTCTGCCGTGGCCGGTGAATGTCGTCCAAGCTCAGTGGGTGCCGGCCTCTCTGGGCAGTGGGCAGTCTCTGTAAGACCTCAGGTCTCCACGGAGCCCTAGTGCTTCTCCCTTTAGGGGCCAGTCAGCTGACCTGCTGGCCTGCGCACACACGGCCCAGGGCACGAGTGTCGCGGTGGGCAGGCCAGTGGTGCAGTGACCCCTGCGGGAGGGGGGGTGGACATCCGAATCTGAACAGCCATCTGACCCGGGCTCGGCGTTCCTGCAGGGTGACTGGGGCTGGAGGCTGCCCAGCAGGAGTAGTGGGGACGCCTCTTGGACCAGACTCCTTAACAGATCATCTTATTAGGGCCTAGGGGTAGAGCTGAAACTCTGCATATTTGTGTTTGATTATTTTCCACCTGTAAGTTTGCTGTGTAACGACTGGAAGTTCCGTCTTCTCTCCGCTCCGCTGACTGCCCCCACCCTCTCCCCAGTTCACTAGTGCAGTTCCACCTTGTTTTTCCCTGGCAGACCCGCATCCTGGTGTGATGCTTGTGTGGCCACACCAGCCCCACCGCCCCCTGACCCCCTGACCCCAGGGAGGCGTCCCACTGAGACCCTGTGTGAACTGGAAGCTGAGTTTGTCCCATCAGAGCTGGCCCCGTTCTCAAAGAAGGGCCAACCTGGCTTGGGCAGACCCAGCAGAACCGTCCCCAGGGCCAGCGGGGCAGCCCAGTGGGGTGACCTCCCGGCTCCTCGGTGGGGCTGGCTGTGTGTGGGGTAGTGATGTCCTTCCCACCTGTCGTCTCAGCTTGCTCCTTAGAAACCAGGGTCCTGGTGGAGGGGTGCACACGGCCGTGCCAGGAGCGTTTCTTCTGCGCGTCTCCCTCTGCCCAGGCAGGCATCCCAGCGCTGCCGCTGCCTCCCTCGCCACCTCACCGGGGGCAGCGAGCCACTGTGAGCCCACCCCTTTCTTGTCTGAGGAGCTCATCAGCCTCAGACGCAGGGCAGAGCGGTCCCTGTGCCCACTGCACCAGACGCATGGTGCTGCCCGGGCTCTCAGAGCCTCACACCGGACCTGCAGAGGAGAGGATAGGGAGGTGTGGCCCTCGTTTTCCTTTGAATGGTCTCAAGTCTCTGGAAGCATGTCTCTGTTCCCTGAGGCCGCCACTGGAGGCCCACTCCGCTCAGCAGAGCTGCAGGTGTGGTGCGCTCGGAGCTGCAGCCTCACGCGCCCTGTAATAGGCGGACCTCCCAGCCGCCAGGCAGTGCCTGTCTTAGGTGAAGCTGGAGCGGGGGGCAGGACTGCATGTCCAGTGGAGCGGGAGGGCAGGACTGCATGTCCAGTGGACCGGGGAGGTGGGGCAGGACTGCATGTCCAGTGGAGCCAGGCCTGTGTCGATGCAGCGAGCTGCAGCTCCTCCCAGCAGAGGGGGAAGGAGGAGTCTCCTGCCTTGAGGCCCCTCCAGTGTGCAGGGGATAGACCGCTCTGTGCCCTGGGCTAGAGCCCCCCGACCTGAGGCATCCTGAGGTTCAAGTCCTGGTCCCGCCTCTGCTCTTCCCTCTGGGAAAGTCTCCCTGGAGAGTTCCCGAGTGTGACCTGTGGGAAGCACCCCATGAAATTGCGTTCAGCAAAAGCACAGATGGTCGCCGTCCCTTCAGTTGGCTAACACTGGACAGAGTCCATCCACGCAAGTCCCGATGTCACAGTGCATCCTTGCCTTTGGGTGCTCTGATGTCACCAGGCTCGCCGGCCCCTGCCGCCCGGGCAGCCCCATGAGCCTCTTGTGCTGGGTGAGACTCCCGATCAGTGTGCTAACCCCCACCCCTCGCTGTCCCCACGGCCTGGGGCCCACCGGAGCCCTCCCAGCCGTGCAGTCTGCCCTGGCCTCAGCTGTTGCCCGTTGCCTTAGAAACGCACCACCCTGCCGTATTTCTAGGTAGGGGACGTCACTGCTGTTCCCGAGTGCCCAGTGAGCAGGCCCCCACAAGGACATCCACCTCAGGAGCTCATGGAGACCTGAAGTCGTGGGACTGCCCGCCAGGCAGGAGTGGGGATGCTTCGTCTTCTCGAGGCACGTGGTGGGCGTTCAGGATCGCGCTCCCGGGCGCACACCCTCCTGAACGCGGTGTTGCTTGCGCACCACTAAGGCGCGTGGGGCCCAGCAGGAGCAGCAGAGGCAGCAACTTTTCCCCTGCCTTTTATAGCCACGTTCCACTCAGCGCTTGTTAGGACCAATAAGAAATCCTTGTTCTTTTAAATAAAGCGAATGGTGCCAGCACGATGTAGCTGGAGGGAGCACATGGCCTGTACACCTGCCCAGAAACGAGGTGGCTGCCCGTGACTGTCATGCTCGGCTCAGAGTGCCTGCCCCTCCCTGAGCTGCTGACCAGCCTGGGCGCCCAGTGGAGGCCGCGACTTCATGGCTCCATGCACCCCAGAGCCATCCTGGCCACTCTTGGCACTTGTGTCACTTGTGTCACTTGTGACGTGACCCCGGGAGGTGGCTGAGAGCTGCGTGTGCTGCGTGCTGATCTAGGGCCTTTTCCTCACAGCCCGCAGCAGCTTGTCAGCTGCTTCCAGGTCGTTTAGCTGGCACCTGTTCTAACCAGGTGTCGGGGGACACACCTTGTCCTCCTCGCATTGGCCCCTGCAGGAATGCAGGGAGTAGCTCAGCACCCAGGAGCCTCCCCGTGGTCAAGTGCAGACAGACGGGTGCAGATCTCAGGACACAGGCACCTGGGGCCTGACCTTGACCTTGACTCCTGCAGGCAGTGTCAGGGCAGGCTGCAGTCCACATGGGTGGATTGGAATTGGAGGAAAAACTTACGCTCCAAGCCAGCCCTCGCCACCCTGTAGGGACAGCAGGTAGCTGTGCACAGGTGGCTCCAAACCCCCTTCTCCCAGAATCCTCCAGCTCTGGAGCGCTGACCCCCGAGTCGGGAATGCAGGGCACACTGATGCTCTCGTGTGACTTGGAGGGGTGCCTCCCAGGGTGAGATGCCACAGCTGGGCTCTTGGCTCCCCGGCTTCTCACCTCCCAGGGGGCTGGAGTCCCTGCTGGAGCTGCTGCCTCTGCACGGGTCCGGGAGGCCGCAGGGCACAGACAGCTCCTCCACAAGGCAGTGGGGTCGGAGGGGTGAGGGGAGGCACTGGTGGAATTGAGGCCTCTCCCTCCGCCCACGATGGCCAGCATCTCTTCAGCTGGACAGGCCTGGACTTGGCTGCTGTTGTGTCCTGCACGTCCAGTAGGGGCTTCACGTGCGCCCAGGGCCCGCCTGGTGGAGCAGGTCACCAGGAAATGCGCTGCATGCATCCGTTCACGCTCCACGCATTCCCGGCACCTGCTGCGTGCCGGGCACGAATGGTGTTACAGCACAAACGAGACAAACACAGTGCCTACCCTAACTCTGCAGGGGAAGGCCCTAACTCCTGTTGCATCCGTTTTCCGAATCCCCCCCGTTCTCGACCGCACCTCGCCAACCTCTCCCCCACACGTGACTTTTCCTGAACGGCCACAGCGGCCCCGCAGCCGTCTTCCCAGCAGTCGCTGAGCTCCAGCCACACCCTGGGTGGAGCCCTCGGCCCATTCCCAGGCCGCTGCCAATAAAGCCAGCTTGTCCTGTCTACACAGCCCCTTGGCACCGTGCAGGGGACTCTCAGCCTTCCTTCACTGTGCTGGGCCCACCCAGGCCCCCTTCCCGGCCTCAGGCCTTTGTGTCTCCTGTAGACTGCATGAAGAGTCCTGCCTGACCCTCACGTGGCTCCTCCACAGCCTAGGGTCCCCAGCCACTTCACCCTGTCCCACGCTGTGGGCTGGTCTGCTTGCTGTCTCTCTGAGGAGGATGTGGCCCGCAAGGCACAGGACCACGCTGTCCATGGTGCGGTGCCCACGCGTGGGTCAGTGCTGACGCGTACAGCAGGTGCTGAGTGAACGCTGGGTGAGCGTGGACAGTCCACAGGCAGCTCATCCAAACCGTGCGTGTAGGAAGAGCGAGGGAGGAAGCGAGGGTGAGGTTCATGGCTGATGGGGTGAGGGCGGCTCGGGAGGGGGCTCCAGGCCAAGATCAGCCGAGGGGCAGAAAACTCAGAGCCCCAGGCAGTGCGCCGTGCAGTTGTCTCAGGGCATCCAGGAAGCGGGAGGGCGCAGCTGGGGCCCCCACAGTGGCGGGGAGGGGGTGGCAGATTCGGCAGGAAATCCCCGGGGGCAGTCAGGGGCCCCCCATGTGCTCTCTTTAAACAATGGAATTTACTTACTGGAGTAGTTTGGGGTTCACAGCACCACTGCGTGGAAAGTACAGGAATTTCCCATACAGAAATTCCGCTCCCCCTTCACGCACAGCCGCCCCTGCTGTCAGCGCCCACACGTGCCAGGGCTGCGTAGCCTCTGCTAGCGTGGCTGGGTCTACGTCATCGTCTCCCAGAGTCCACAGGCCACACCAGGGTCCCCTCTGGCCGTGGACACACACAAGGACGCAGTGGCCCTGTAGGGCCGTCAGATCCGCGCCCCCGTGTGCTGTCGGCAGGGCCCCGGCTGCTGTGGGCAGAGGGCCAGGGGCTGGGCTTCCAGGACAGGATGCGAGGCGCCCTCTGTCCCGCAGTGCTGGCCTACATGCAGCTGCTGGAGGACTATTCCGAGCCGCAGCCCTCCGTGTTCTACCAGACGCCGCAGAATGAGCACATCTACCAGCAGAAGAACAGGCTGCTCATGGAGGTGTACGGCTTCAGCGACTCCTTCAGCTCGGCCAGCGACTCGCTGCAGGAGCTGGCCCCGCCGCCCGCACTGCCCCCGAAGCAGCGGCAGCTGGTAAGCGGCGCCCCCTCCCCGTGTCCCCAGCTTAACAGGTCTAGGGGCTGGAACGATCCTTCTGGGGTTAGGGTTGACCCCGTGCCGTCCGTGGCAGGGGCCCCGGCCTTGCTGATGGACGCGTCCCAGTCCACGTGGGCGCCCGCGTCCGCTTCCGTCTCCCGGCCTGGAGCTCTGGGGCCTTTCTTCTCGAGAGCAGCCCCTACTGCCGGACAGGCCCGCGCCCGGAGTGTCCGCTCGGGCCGCTAACAGTCTCTTGACTTCTTGTCTGTCTTCTCTGGCTCCAACGTGGACCTCCCAGAAAGGAGGGACTCAAAGCACAGGGCACTGTCTGTGTGCAGCCAGCTGCAGAGTTGCTTCCCGACAGTAGGCCTGCCTGTGCGGATGACTGATGTCGCGGCCCGGCCAGGGCTGGCCCCGTGAGAACGGCTCCGCTGAGCCGGGTGGCTTGACACACAGCCCCTTTGTGTTTCCGACGCGGCACCCTCCTCCTCGCAGACACCTCCTGGGTGGAGGAGTCCCGTGTGCAGTGTGGCCCAGGCAGGCTGCGAGGCCCTGGGCGCCTGCCTGTCACAGGCCTCCGGGTCTGTCTCTCTGCTTTACGGTTCACGGGTCGGTGGGCTCCTTTCCCCACCAGGAAGGGTGCCCTGGAGTGGAAGCCTGGCTTTTCCCAGAGCTGCGTGCGTTCTGCTGCCTGTTTGATTGGTAGGACCGTCTTCTGTCCATCAGGAGACCACAGGAAGGTGCCACCCTGGCCTTTCTGGAAGGCAGCCGTCCACTAACCGGAGGACAGATGCCCCGGGGTCCCCGTGCCGTCTCACCTGCAGCAGGCTCAGGCTGACCAGGCAGGCAGTTTGGTCCCCTCCAGGGAACCGCAGCCAGCCCTGTTGGAGGCAGCCTTGGGCCAGGTCCCACACGTGGGCATCAGGGTCGCTCTCCACCTGCCCTGCCCACCCTCGAGCTCGGAGAGTGACTCACATTGCTTCGACAGTGTTTCAAGGGGATCTTCGTGGAAATGCCAATGTCTGGCTGGAGGTTCATAGCCCAGAATGTTTGGTTAAAACCATTGCTGAGCCAGATTTCATGGCGAGATTGGTCCTTGGCAACCCATTGGCTGTCCTTGGCCATCTTATCATGGAGTCCACAAGTTTCTGAACATGAGGGGAGGGGTCCCCAGTGAGCATGTGGACGCAGGCCTGTTCCAGACAGGACAGGGCTGAGGGCAGCCCCTCCTGGGCACCTCCTGCAGAGGGACGGCAGGAGCTTCCTGTGGCTGCCCACGACCCTCCCCACAGCTCCTGGCAGCCCCACTGCATGCGAACCGGGGCAGAGAGCCAGAGAAACGTAGGCCAAGGCCACAGCAGGCTGTGCCTGGAATGCAGACGTGGGAGGGGCAGTGAGGTCATCACCACGCCTTCTGTGGGAGGCGCCGTCCCAGGTGCTTTACCCAGGTCATCTCATTTCATCCAGCGCACCCTCCGTGGTCAGCGCCAGCGTTCTCCATGTCTTACAGACGGGAAACCCGAGGTGCAGAGATCCTGAAGCAAGGTCCAAGGCCAAACGGGGATCAGCGTCAGGGTCCAGATTCCATCAGAACTTGGCTGATGCGAGAGCGAGCACCCGGGTCTGCTCCCACTGAGGAGGAGCCCAGAGCAAGGGCCAGCCCCGGCTCCAGGCTCCTTGTCCTCCGTGCACCGTAGTCGATGTGCGAGTTCACTCTAACTCTGCCGTAAGGAAGTGAAGGGGCGGGCTCCGCCTTGTTCACGCAGCCTTCAGCGGGCACTGGTGGTCCTGAGTCCCCAGCAGGGTTAGGTAGCGGCCTCTTGCGTCTTTGCTGACACGTGCCTTACCGTTCTCTGCTTCTCTCCCTCCTCCCTGCCTTCTCTCTCGTCCCTCTGCCCAGCAGGCCTCCTATGCTGCTTCTTCCTTCTCCTCTGTCTCCTACTGTATCCAGCAAACTCAAGTGGCCTTCGCCCCCGAGGACAGCAGTGCCACTCAGGGCCTCAGTGTGTCGGTCTCTAACTCCTTTCTCAGCCGGCACGGCAGCTTGCCTGTGCCCTCGGTGAGTCCAAACAAGCGACCCGTTCCTTGGTTTGCAGCTGTGCCTCCCGCACGTGCGCGCTGCCCGTCCCGGCCCGTGTCCTCGTGTGCCAGACAGGAAAGGACATGAAGGGCCGGATCCCCAGGGCCTAAGGGCTGTTACCGGCGGGCTGGGGTGGGGATTGCGAGTGGCTCCCACTCTGGCTCAGGTGGCAGAGATGTTTCCAGCCTTTTGCTTCTGATCTCCTGCTGGGTCTTGGCTCAGCCCTCTGGGTGTTCCACGTTTGCTGAGGAATATCCCTCGTGTTGGAAGCAAGGCCAAAGAGAGCAGGCTTTCCCAAGTGTGTGAGAGTCCGCGCTGTAAGAGCCGTACCCGTTGTCTCCCGCTGCACCACAAGCCACCCCGGAGCTCAACGGCTTCAGATGTTCCTGATGAGGACACGGGTGGGGGGTGATCACACTGCTCTGCCTGCAGAGTGGCTGGTGTGGCACAGGCTCTCTGGCATCTCCTGCCCCCCCCCCCCCCGTTCCCCTGCGGCAGGCTAGCCTGGGCTTGTGTGCAGGGCAGCTGACAGGGCTCCAAGGAAACAAATGGAAGCTCGCAAGACACCTTGCAGCCTAAGCTGTGATTCGGCCCAGTGTCACTTCCATCGCAGCCACTCAGTCAAGTCCAGCCCGGAGTCAGGGCCGGGGGAAGTTGACTGCACCTGCCGATGGGAGTCGGTGCTAAGCCACATTGCACGGGAGCCGAGGTCCCAGCGGGGGTGGCTGCGGCCGTTGCTGTAAAGAGTCTCCTACAGAAGTGAGGGGACAGTGGTGCATAAGGAGGCACAGTCTTTAAGCCATAAGAGTTCTGGACTCTAGTCTAGTTCAGCTTCTAATTCTGTACCAAGAATTGGACAAACAGCTTAGCCTTTCTGGGTTTCCTTCTGTCCTCTACAAATATAAAGGATGAGTTTGGACTGAGTGACTGTTGAAGACTTACCCAGGCTCAGGTTCCCAGTTTGGTGCTGCCTGGGGTCCATCTGTGCCCTTGCCTCTCCCGAGGAACGCATTCTTCCCCGGGGTGCTGAGGCCCGGCTGGTCAGGGCCCTCGGCGCCCCAGACATGCAGGGAAGGCTGAACGCTGCCTCAGCCGCCCTGGCCACACGGCCTCCCTTGAACCTGGAGGGCACCTCTGCAAGCTCCGTTCACAGTTATAGCAAAACTTGGCTCTTAGACAGTGCTAGCTCTTGGCTGGTTCCTGGGCCACCCCCCATGAATAGACACCGTGAGCTACCTGAGGGTTTCCACAGGGTAGAGGGCTGCAAGTGAACTGGACTGTTGGCTCCAGAACTGAAGAAAACATGAGGACGTCTTAATGAAGACTGGGCCACGGTTTCCATCCCTGGGACGTAGGAGTCTCGAGACCCCTGCATCTGAGATGCTGCGGTCCCAGCTCCACGCAGGAGCCGAAGGGGAGGAGCCCAAGGTGCTTCCTTCTGTTACCAGAAAGCTCCCCGGAAGCCAGTAGCAGGGGCCCGGTGCTGGGGCGTTTGCCGTCGGAGGTGCTGAAATCCGGGGAGCGGCTTAGTGTCAGGCCAGCTTACTCCTCAGGTGTTCTCCGCCTGAATCCCAAGATGTGCCCAGACCCGGGGCTTCAAATTAGTGCCAGAGTAGCCTCTATCCCCAGATTTCTTCATTCCACCGCCCCCGGGCCTGTGTCATCAGTCCAGCGTGGAGTTCTGAAGCCCACTTGGGAGTGCAGCAGCTGTCCAGTCTCGTGTGGTTCTTGTCACAGTGTCCAGTGTCCTGTTACTTCACTAAAAGCCTGAGTGTTAGGAACCTCTTGGCCAGGGGACTCCAGAGAGCAATAAGCCTGCCCGGGCAACTGAAGCTGGAGTGCATGCTGGGAGGTGTTGGGTCCTCTCCTCCCGGGGCTCCCAGGGCTCCAGGGGCTGCGGAAGTCGGTGGGCAGGGACCCGCGTGCTGGAGTGCATGCTGGGAGGTGTTCCGTCCTCTCCTCCCAGGGCTCCAGGGCTGCGGAAGTCGGTGGGCAGGGACCCGCGGTGCTGGAGTGCATGCTGGGAGGTGTCCTTGTCCTCTCCTCCCGGGGCTCCCAGGGCTCCAGGGCTGCGGAAGTCGATGGACAGGGACCCCGCGGTGCTGGTGATGGACGGGCCTGCAGTGCAGCAAGTGGGGCCTGAGAGCCACAGGCAGTGGGAACGCCAGTGGTCGGTGGGCTCAGACCGTGCCTCATGGGGCCGGAGCATAAGGTGTGCTTGGGGACAGTGACGTGTCTGGGAGACAGAGGAAAGGGAAAGCGCCAGGCAGGGGGCCCGCCCCAGGGATGGAGGCCAGTAACCCCAGCGTCCCTTCCGATGTGAGTTCCCAGAGATTGAGGTCGTGGGAGAGAGGGGGAGCCAGCCCCCGCACCTCCGCAGGCCCTCCCCTCCAGGAAGACTCGGCGCCCCCACCCACACACTGCCCTGGGTCCTGAGTTTCTCCCTGCATGGCGCAGCCCTCTGGGGCTCTGGCCACTGCCTGTGAGTGTGTCCCCACACCGGCTTCTGGGCAGCGCCCCCCCATCTTGTCAGCCCTCAGTTCCATCTCTGGGGTTCTCTCTTGGGGGAGAGGCCCACAGACTTCCTGTGTACCCCGACTTGTGCCCTAAATCCCGGGAGACGAGCATGCAGACCTGGTGCGAGGTCTGGGGAGCGTCACCAGCAGTTCCGGGAAATGAGGGAGGGGTGGGGGCGCTGAGGAGTCCTCCAGGAACTGCCTCACCTTCCTCACCTTCCCTCCTAGAAACAGCCGTGTGGCTCTCCTCGGCGGCCTCCTGGGCTCCCGTGCCCGCCGGCCGGCCGCCAAGCTGTCGGGGTGGCCCAGCCCACAGCTGTCTGCCTCACAGACCCCTTCCTGGCTCTGAACTCCGCTGGTGTGGATCCCGAGAGTTTGAGTTTGGTCCATATTCACTGTGCCCTTGACCGAAATGTTATCGAAGTCTCTGGGCAGCCGTGAGGGCCGCCGGGGCCCTGCAGGTGTTTGCTGGCGTCAGAGCAGTCACCCTGCTCCACCCCCGTGATTCCCTTGTGCGTCCTTTCTCTGCTCGCTGCAAGCGATGAGCAAACGCTGACGTCGCCAGAGGCCCGTTTCGATGCTAGAATCTGTTGAAATATTTCCTTACCACCTTGGCTTTCAGAACGAGTCTGGACGAGCAAAAATGCTGGTAGATCAGGGCTTTGAGAAAGAGGCCCGTGATAACGGTCGTTTGCTTTCGTTTATGTTTTTAAATCTTCATGGTGAGAAAGTCAAGTGTGGCTCATGCGGAGGGACTCGGGGTGTGTGTGTGTGTGTGTGTGTGTGTGCGTGCATGCGCTGAATTTTGTGCATTTTTGTGGGGGTATAGGGCTATATTTCTTTTTTTAAAGATTTATTTATTTGAAAAAGTTACACATAGAGAGAAGGAGAGGCAGAGAGAGAGAAGGAGAGAGAGGTCTTCCATCCGCTGGTTCACTCCCCAGTTGGCCACAATGGCCAGAGCAGCACCAATCCGAAGCCAGGAGCCAGGAGCTTCTTTTGGGGTCTGCCAAGCGAGTACAGGGGCCCAAGGACTTGGGCCATCTTCTACTGCTCTCCCAGGCCATAGCAGAGAGCTGGATCAGAAGTGGAGCATTCAGGACTTGAACCGGTGCTACAGGGCGATATTTCAACATGTATATCCTGGCTTTTGGCACCTGCCAGCTCCTCTCCCAGTTCTTTGTACAGTATCTAGTGCCACCCCAGTGTGAGCACATCAGCTATGGACAGGGGTTTGTGGAGCAGCTGGCATCCCATTCTGGGCCAGGCACTCACATGGGGACATGCGCCGTCCACACAAGACCCAGGCTTCATGCCGACGCCTGGATCCCGCACCATGAAGCAGCCAGGGCTGCCCCCGAGGTGCACGGTGGGCTGCTTACACCCCACCCCACCCCCACCCAGTGTGTCTGCATCTTCTCTTTGCCCTCCCCCCCAACCACAGACCTCTAGAACTCGCCCATCAGCGTCACAGAGACCATACTGGCTGGGCTGAAAGTCAGGAGCCGGGGGAAGATGGAGAAGGAGAAAGAATGGAGTGAGGGAGGGGAGTGGCCTTGGGGCAGTGAGGGCAGAACCAAGGGCCCTCAGACTGCCTGGCCCAGGGCGCGTCTGTGCGTCCGTGGAAGAGAAGTTCCGCCACCCTGGCCTCTGTCCCTGTTTCTTCCTGATGTCAGAGCCAAATCACACTGAGAGATGAGAGGGAGGGAAGGTCCGGCAGAACCCGGGGCCTCCCTGGGGGCGTGTCCCAGAGGCCTGCCTCACTTCCCCGTGGCCCCCGCGTGGCCCCCTCGGTCGTCAGTGTCCGTCGGGGGAGTTCCTTTCCAGGGAAAGTGAGGCCTCTGCGTGTGGCCACGTCCCACCCCCAGCCGGCTGATGCCACGCCACAAAGTCGCGTCCTCGTGCTGGTTTACCTCTCTCCCACCGCCACCACCACCTTTCCCCATCCCAGTGTCTCACCCTGCCCCCTCCTGACTGGCATTCCAGCCTCTGTGGTCAGGTTCCCTCCCTCACCTCACCTCACCCCTGCAGATCCAGGCCAATGTCCCCACCATCTTGGGAGGCCTTTACTGGCCACTTCCACACACGGGCTCCTGGCCGCTCCCAGAAGCACTCACGTCTGTCTCCTGCCCCAGCCGTCCCGCACCTCCCCCCATCCATCCAGCGGGAAACGCAAGGCCCAGGGGCATGCAGTGCAGCAGGGTTGGCGCTTCCACCCTCCTGAAGACCCCAGGCAGCTTCAGGCCCGCGCCGCCTCCCCTGTGTGGAACCCAGACTCAAGCCCACTGCACCTGGGCCGAGCCCTGCGGGGGCTGGTGCGTGGCGATAGGCGCCCTTCCTGGTTTCTGCAGCTCCTCGTGTGCAGATCTCTGCCTCCCCTGCTCTGGACAGCAGCCAGCCTGCCGGGCGGGCGGCCTGGAGCTGGCTGTGACCAGGAGACCCTGCTGAGCCTTCTGGCCCGGGGCTTTCAGAAGCAGCTGCTGCTGACTCGTCCGTTCCCGCCCCTGCCTCGCCGCTTCCACGCTCTGGGTTCTCGTCCACCGGCTGGCCTGTGGGCTGTGCTCACAGACAGGCGTCAACCACGGGAGCCTTAGTGTGGCACTGTGCTGCCGCTGTCCTGACCCCTACCAGGACCGCCCCTCCCGTGAGGGCGCCGCCCCCACTGGCACGGCAGGGTCCCTGTCTGCTTGGCTGGGCCCTCCTCGCTACCAGCGCTAGAGTATCCCACCGCGGTCTGGAGGCCAGGCTGCCTGCTGGAGCTGGAGCCGAGGTTAGACTCCAGATCTGCAGCTTGAAGGCTACACGTTAGGCTGACATCTGTGAATTGCTCAATGCCAAGTAAACAGGTGGAAACAGGAGTGCGGAGGCTGGACCGTGAGCGCCGGCGTTTGCCCTTCGTGTTCTGACACGCCAAGCTGCCGGCTCTCACCGGAGATCCACGCTACCCGAGAGCAGTGCGCTCCGGGCTGGGACGGGACAGGAACCGTGTGTCAGTGTGCGAAGCCGCCCCGTAAGGAGCCGATGCCGTTCACGGCAGTGCTCACTGAATGTACAGGGCATCCTACGGTGTACTGGGGTTCCTGCCATCCTAATTAGCCATGAAGCCGTTGGCCAAAATGTAGTATTTTCAGATAAGTTCTTGTTTTAGGTTACTGAAGTACCTCCCATAAGAAGGAACCTAATTTCTTACCCCATCCACCCGTTTTTGGTTATGATTTTTTTTTTTTAAGATTTATTTATTTGAAAGGCAGAGAATCACAGAGACAGAAAGAGAGAGATCTTCCATCTGCTGGTTCACTCCCTAGCCGAAGCTGGGCCAATCTGAAGCCAGGAGCCTGGCGCTTCTTCTGGGACTCCCACGTGGGTGCAGGGGCCCATGGACTTGGGTCATCTTACACTGCTTTCCAAAGCCATAGCAGAAAGCTGGATCGGGAGTGGAGCAGGTGCGACTCGAACCGTCACCCATATGGGATGCCGGCACTACAGGCAGCGAGCGGCGGCTTTACCCGCTGCGCTGCAGTGCCGCCCCCGCCCCCCATTCTTAATGACCTAAAATTCTCCCAAGTAAATCATTTTTTGTTCTTTCGCATCCTTTGTTCTCAGGATTTTTCATTTGATGTCTAAAGATAAACTCCAGGGAGCAGGTTATCCCGGAAAGGGGAGGTGACCTGATGATGACGTTGCCCTACTTTGATAAGATGAATGCTGTCTTGTCAGTGACGCCAGATGCCCCACAGAAATGCCAGTCCTTGCCAGGAGCAGAGAGAAAGCCACCTGTGACGAATCTCAGGTTCCGCGCTGTGGCGCCGGCTTCAGAATTCCCTCCAGGGCTCTGGAAACTCAAGCTTGATGTTATGCAGGATCCAGTTCCAATGGAGCACAGGGTGCCGAAAAAGGGAGTGCCCTGGGGCACGAGGCGCCCATCCCTGGCTTTTGTGAACAGAGCTAACTGGGGGCCAGGAAAGCCCCAGGCCCCCCTGCGTTGGAGCAGAAAGGAGGTGTGCTGGCAGGACCCTTCCCGGTGTCCTGGGAGTAGTCACGGCCCTGTCCATCAGAACCAAATAAGCTGAGCTTCCCCCAGGAGACTTCTCCCCAGACAGCTTGACTTCTTTCCAAAATAAGTAAACTGGGCCTTGTGTTGTGACGCCACAGTCCCCTGTTGAAGGCAGAGGGCTTCAGACATGGGCATGTCCCTGTCCCCCGCGACTGGCACTGAGCCAGGTCCCCTGTGACACCCCACACCGTCACCCTCGAAGAGCGGCTGCTTTCAGTGAGTTTGCTCTCAAGTAAGAGAGATTGGAACCCAGGACCCAGCTGTCCAGTAGCGGGTCCACGTTGCTGAGGGGCCTCGCCTGGGCCAGGGTGGTGTGGAAGGCCCCTCCCTCTGGCCAGCGCCTCTGCTTCCCAAAGCCTCCAGCACCACAGGGAGTCCGTCCAGTTGCGTGATCACATTTCTCTGTCCTTGTGGCTCTCGCCCTCAACTGTGACGCACGGGCCCAGTCACCCTGGTCATCAGAGGAACTCCTGGGAGCAGCTTGAGGCCGAGGGCCCAGGGTTCTCAGTTAGCGACCTGCTCTCCGCCTCCTCGCCAAGGCAGCGCAGGGCCTGTCCCTAGCTGTGATGAGAGGGAGCGTCACTGGATTCAGGTGCCCGGCCAGCGCTGGGTGGCTTTGCCCTCTAGCGAGTTGCCCACAGGCTAACATGCAAAGGCGCCAGCCTCCTCCTGGCCACCGGTACTCCAGTGTTCTCAAAGGAACTGATTGCGGATTCCACCTCTCTCCTGCTGTGTCCTGGAATTCTCCACATGCCGCTCGGCTCTGGAGCTCCTCTGAGCAGGGGTGATGGGGCTGTGTCCTGCAGACCTGGAGGGTCCCGTGGGTAGGTCCTGTCTCGTGCCCAGAGGAGACCGAGGCCACCCCCACGCCGGGTGTTGCCAGCGTGTGTTGTTAGAGGTGAACTGGTCTGAGTCGCTTCTTCATCCTTAGGATCGTGGCAGCATTCCACACGGATTCAGCAAGACAGGCCGTCCGCACCCTGGGCCTGCTGGCCTTCGGATCTGGTCTGTGGCTTGGCTGGCACTGGGGCGGGCACCCTTGCTCCTGACTGCTCACTTGCTCGGGCACCCCAGGTTCTGCAGAAACGTGGGGGCTCCGGCAGGCGGCCCTGATGTCCTAAACTCCTCAGCCCAAGCCGTCCCACTCTGACTATAAATAAAAATTCCTGCCGCACAGCGAGCAGCGCCGGGCACAGCCAGATCCCAAAATAAACCCCAGGCCGCGTTGCTGCGTGCCGAGTGTGACGGCAGATGGCCTGCAAGGCTCTCTTTGGGGAGCAGATAGAGACCCGGACTTGTGGAAAGTGGGGTGATCCTGAGTTCTGACGCAGCCGTCAGCCCTTGCACTGTCCCCAAGGCACAGAATGCGCCTCAGGATGACTGGAGCCAGTTCCCTTGGTTTCCCCGCCCCTTCAAGGTGTTTGGCTCCTGTCCCAGGGACCGCATAGCCGGAATACCGGAGTGTGGGTCCGTGCCGTGCTGCGGAAGGCAGGCCCCTTTGTCCAACTCTCTCCTTTCTTCTGGGTGGCTGCCCCAGCCTCCTTCCCACTGCGGGCCAGGCAGTGGTTTAGGGACTTTAATTAGACACCATAGTCAGTTGCTGGGGGTATTGGGCCCCCGGCTTGCGTGTCAGGGCAGCAGAGGACATGGAGGGGAGCTTGTCACACCGAGAGCTCTCAGCACTGTCTCATTGGACAACCACAGAAACCCTGTTTTCACCCCCCACTTTGAAGATTGGCTAGAGCTTAAGAACTTACATCACTTACCCACAGCCCCACGGGTAGAAAGAGGCACCAGCCCCAGCCGTCCTCCAAGGGAAACCCGGGGGTCTGAGAGTCCTGAGCTCGCCAAATCTAAGCCCACCCGCTCAGAAGCCGTTGTGTGCGTGGGGCTCAGGTGTTCAGCCATCGCAGGGTGGGCTTTGTGCCAGTGGGCTTACCTAAACCAAGTGGCAACACACAGGCAGGAGGTGTCCGAGCCCTGGGAATGAGCATTGGACAGCTCTGGAGTCAGGGCTGAAGCCACTGCCTAGGAGTTTATGGGGATTCTGTCAGAGCAGCCCCCACCACAGACTCACCACCGCAAAGCCCTGGAAGGCCCAGAGCGGGGTCCCAGCATTGTCCTTGCCAGTTGCTGTGAGCCTGGGGTCCCGGGCTGCAGCCCTGCTCCTCCGGACAGGAGGGCGTAGGTGGAACCTGGGCCGCGCTGGTGCTCCGTGGATGCCACTTCCACTGACTGACAGCTGTGGCGGAAGGTCGGCCTCGAGGGTGTGGCCCAGGCGGGGAAATGAGGCATGTAAGAAGTGGCCCGGGGCAGGCGTTGGGGGTCTGCTGTAAACCTAGTCCCAGGGCGAGCCCCCGGCTGTGATCGGGACAGCCAGGAAGGGCCAGGGCTGTGGCGCAGTGGAGGGGGTTGCCTTGTTCCTGGGTCCTGGTAGCTCTTTGTGCAGGTTAAAGGGTTGCTTTGCAAAGCTGCTTAAGGACATGAGTTAGTTTGAAACTGTTTTTTCTCTTTCCTGTATGCGTGGGCTCTGAAAGTCTCGTCCACAGCAGGTGCAGAGAGCGAGAGGGAGCGGTTGCCATCTGGAGCCCTGCACAGGTGGCATGGCCCTGCCCCGTCCCCCGTGACCTTAGCAGCAGGCAGGCAGGCAGGCAGGCGGGCGATCCTCAGCCAGGAGGCCGGAGCCCTGGCCTGGGGATTGCTCAGTGGGCATTGGCGGTCACTTCTCAGCCTGGCGTCAGGCTTCCCTCTCTGTGAGAATCCCGAGAGTGCTGTTGCCAGAACACTGCGTTTCTGTGAGAAGCCAAGGGGGTACGGACAGGATGGTTTATCCACACTTTCGGCTAGTACAATCCTTCCAACCATCTTGAGGCTTGTGGTTTCTCTCCTAAAAGGATCTGCAGTAGATACGGCATTTACAAAGATTGCGGTGTTTGATTCTTACATGACAAAGCCAAAGAGATTCATCCAAAAGATTGAAAATGGATAAATGTGACCACAGTGTTGAGTCCAGCCGTAAGGTCCCTGAAAGGACAGAGGGCAGAGGCTGGGCTGTGTGGGGGCTGCTCCTGCCCACGGTGGCACCCGTGGGCGCCTGTGCCACGCACGGGATCTGCTGACCTCCAGGGGCACCCAGGGCCGTTCTCCCTGGAGGCCCCTGTCCAGGAAGCAGCACCAGGTGGGGACACTGTGGAGGTCAGCCAGCCATGGTGGGGGTTGTCCTATCCCGAGTTAGACTCGCCGTGAACAGCCTGTCACTGCTGAGGCACCGTTAACCTAATCGCTTTTTCTCTTGTCTGTTCTCTTCCCGTATTCTCGTGCGTGCGTGCGTGTGTGCGTGTGTGTGCCACTTGGATTCTGCAGTATAAATCTGTGTTTAGGTCCTACTCCCAGGACTTCGTGCCTCACCACCAAGCTTCCGTTCAGCCTTTCCTTCCGCCTACCTCCTCTTCCTCTCCACATTTCCCACCTGTCCACCAGTCTCAGAGCTCGGACTTAGCGGTGCCACCCGTGGCCAGTCCGCCTCCCAGCACCGTGGACGGGCCTCTCTCATCTTCCCAGGAGAGCAGCTTCCATGGGAACACTGTCTGCCTTCCTCCTGAAACCTCTTTCACTGACTGGGTGAGAACTCACATGCACCTGCACGTCTGCACGGTCCCAGAACGCGGTGTCGCTGCGCACGGAGGGCCCTGCCTGCCTGTCATGCCCGGGCAGCATGACTGGGCCGACCCTGAGGACCAGGCCCCCCAGACAGGAGCCCGAGCCTTGAGTGCAGAGTTCCAGCCAGCCAGAACTAGGGACCGCCTGGAAACAGCTACCAAAAGCAGGAGACAGAAAACACTGCCGGCCAGCCGGTGGTCTGCAGGGAAAAGCACAAAGCCTTCTGGAAGCGAGGAAGTGGCACAGTCCAGGCCGTGGCCTGTTGGGCTGCCTGTGATGTCCAGGGCAGAGGCCTGGCTTTCTGTCCTCTGAGACAGGCGGCAGTGCCTCAGATGGCAGGACGCGGGCGGCTAGGGAGCACTGCCCCGCCGCAGCCGGGCCGTCCGCGTGTGCGGCTGCTTGGCCCCCTCGTCGCCCCCACCACCCTGCTGGGGCTCCTTTTCCAGGACAGGCTCCGTGATGCCCTGGAAACCCTGGGGAAGATTCACGGGAAACCTGGGCCCCGCTCTAGAGACAGGAGGTGGCACACGCAGCTTTGGCCTCTGGGTCTGGGGAGTCCCTTCCAAGTGCAGTGCCCCTGTCTTTGCCCTCCTGTAAAAGGGGGCGTCACGGTCAGGGCCAGCGCTGCTGGCTGCCGTCTCCGAGCCGTGAGTGCTGGCAGGAGGGCCCGGCCCATGTGTCTCTGCTCTCATCCTGTCTCCCTCAGAGTGGAAGCGCCAGTGAGGGCGAATATGTCAGTCTCTCTTCCTCTGGCCAGAGCAGCGAGGAGCTGGCTCCCTCTCGAGGAGTAAGTAACCTCGGGGCGGCCTCGTGCATGTGGCCTGGCCTGGCAGGGGTTGGGCCTCTGCTGTCCCGAGGCCACTTCCCTTGCACCTGCTTCTGTCTGGCTGAGACCCCCGTCCTGGTCACCAGCAGGCCAGGCCCCCTTGCTCCCGCTTCAGTACGCTCAGAATCCGACCCGACAGGTTTTCTAGGCATCGCCAGGAGCAGCCCTGCGTGGGCCTTGGCCGCGTGCCCAGTGGCTCACCGTAGGACTTCTTTCTGCCCCGTCTGCTAGTGTGAGCTGCTCCTTCCTTGGATGGGCGACGCTTCTCCCGACACGGCCCCCTCACCCCGTCCCACCTTCTCCTCGGCACACTGCCTCCCCTCACGTGGCCACTTCTAAGGAGGCAGTGAGTGTGGCGCTGAGCCTTGCCGGCAGGTGCACAGCCCCCTGGTGTGCCCGTCGCACACAAGGCACTGAGTACCGCAGTCCCATCCAGCAGTCAGCTTTCCAACAAAATACAAGAAGCTCAAGAGTTTCAGAAATAATTCCCCCATGAGCCTGAGAGGCCGAGTTCCCCGAGGACTCGAGTCCTCCCCAGTGGTCAGCTCAAAGCCGGGCTCAACCCATAGAGAGCATGGCCACCCCCATTAGGATGGTCCTGCCGTGGCCCCCCGTGGGGCTTGACACCGCCACATGAGTCCCACAAGTCACAGAACAAAGGAAATGGAGTTGGACCCTGGGCGTGGGAGCTGAGCTGGCGTCCCCAGCTTGCCTGTGCCCTGCAGTGGCTTGCGCCCTGGCATCGTCTCATTCAGCCAGTGCATGGTGGAGTCTGTCCTGGCCTTCCCTGGCACTCTCCCTCTACCGGTGACCACTTGCAGTGTTGGCTTTCTCTTTGCCATGGGGTGCTCTCCATGGTGACCGTCCAGGTAGTCTCCCACCTTACTGCTCCATCGTGGGCTGGGGCAGACCAGGGAGGGACGTCAGAAAGCCATGCTGTCATGAGCAGCATGAGCCCAGAGCTGGGAGAAAGTGAGGGAGGCTGTTGGCAGGGGGCAGGGGGCCTTGGGGACTGTCCTGGGCCGAGCCTTTAGTCCTGCAGACTTCGGCTCGGACGTCAGAAGGGTTTTGCCGCTGGAGAGAGCCAGCCCAGGGGTCTGGGCGTGTCTCAGGCAGGGCAGTGTCTGTGCAGTGGGCATGGTGGGCTTAGGAGAGGAGAGGTGTGCCGAGCCCTTGGCCAGCAGAGGGGCTGCTGTACAGTCCATGTTCTAGAAGAGGTGGTGCAGGGGGCTTCATCTGGGCTGGCCGCTGACAGATGTTCCAGTGAGTGGCACCTGTCCCTCTCTCGAGGCAGGGTGCTAGTCTCCAGGGGGCTGTGTCTCCATAAATGCCCGTGCTCATCGTGAACGGTCCCATCTCGGACTGCTCTCTAGGAACCTACGCTCCAGAGGCACTTGGCAGGTGGGAGAGTCGGGAAGACAGAGTGGCCCAGAACAGGCACCTGTGCAAACCCAACATTCGCTTCTCTTTGCAGGAGTCGCCAGCTGGGAAAGACGCCCATTCCAGGGATCCCGCGCTGGGCGGAGGCACACCTGGCAAGGAGAGCCGAGACGGCGGCGAGAGGTAGGAAGTGAGCGGCGTGTGCACTCGGGGGCCAGCCAGCGCACCGGGCCTGCAGATGCTCTCCCTGGTCCCCAGAATGATACGTGCCCAGGGTAAAAATGTAGGAAGTGTGGAAAACAGGAGACACCCCCACAACCCCACCCCGCAGGGCCCTGGGGCTGCCGCTCACCTGTGCAAGTCCTGCCCTTTCTCTGCTGACCCAGCCTCCTTGGCCCCAGCCCTTCAAGCTGAGGTACACCGGGGAGTGTAAAAGACCCACCCCTGCCACCTGTGGACCTTTCTAAATAGGCTGTGTTGCTGAACCCCTCGACGCTGGGCCCCCAAATGCTTGACGTGCCTCTCCCACGTGAAAGCATCCTGGTGACACCATTATTCCACCTGACAAAGCTAGGAGTCCCTCCTGGCACCCGACAGGCAAACCGGGGTCCCGTTCCCCAGCAGTCTCCCCGCCACACCCTCATTCCCTGCAGCCAAGGGCAGTCCCGCGTGCGTCTCGCGTTTGGTTGCTGGTCTCTCACCTCCTGTGTTTCTCCAGGTTAGCAGGAGCCAACCTGACCAGGCTTACAGACATGCAGTGCGCTTCCCCAGCAGGCACTTGCAAAGTAGAATGTGTGGGATCCGCACACGGGCATCGCCTGGGCACCACCCTCGCTGTGGAATGTTCCACATGTCCCCTGCCTGTGTCGGTCAAGCTCTGCCACTTGTGAGGTCCTGAGTGGCCTCGCAGAGCTAATGCCTGTCATTGTCAGACATCAGCGTGAACCGGTGAAGGGCAACAAGTAGACAAAAAGACACGAGGGAGTGGGGGTGGGCCACTGGGGAGGGCTGCCTGCCCCCTCACGCCTCCTGCACCTGCAGGGCCATCTGCCCCCTTCCCGCACCTCCAGGGCCCTGTGCCCCCCACCTCCTGCACCTGCAGGGCCCTGTGCCCCCCACCTCCTGCACCTCCACCTCCAGGGCCCTGTGCCCCCCCACCTCCTGCACCTCCACCTCCAGGGCTGTGTGACCCCCCCACCTCCTGCACCTCCACCTCCAGGGCTGTGTGACCCCCCCACCTCCTGCACCTCCAGGGCCCTGTGACCCCCCCCACCTCCTGCACCTCCGGGGCCCTGTGCCCACCCACCCACACCTCCAGGGCCGTGTGCTCTAAGTCTGATTCCTTCCCCAGGCTGAGGTTTCCAAGTGCTAGGTTTACTGGTTTAGCAGCAGCAGTATGGTTTTCAGAGCTCCAGCCAACCCTTGTGACGAGCAGACAGGTGGGGCCGGCGTTGTGATGCAGTGGGTTACACTACCACCTGTGACACCGGCATCCCGTGAGTGCTGGTTCAAGTCTCAGCTGCTCCACTTGCCACCCAGTTCTCTGCTAATGCGCCTGGGAACCCAGCAGGTGACTCAAGTGCTTGGGCCCCTGCCACCCACGTGGGAGACCAGGAAGAAATTCCAGACTCCTGGCTTTGACCAGGCTCAGCCCTGGCCATTGTAGCCATTTGGGGAGTGAACCAGTGTGGTGGAATTCGAAGGCCATGCCAAGATGGCCACTGGCAACAGAGCCTGCCTGGCAACAGGCTGTGATTGGTTAGGGCATAGACCGCCCCTTGACTGGATTGGCTGCCTCGGCTATATAAGCTGCTGTACCAACTGAAATAAACGAGTCTGCAGGCTGCTTGCTTCAGGCCTGCTTTCACCCGGCTCCAGGGGTCTGTGTGGTGACTCCGCGCCTCTTGCCCCCACCACGCTCCTCCTCTCAGAATGAATCCACTTCAACAAACCAGCAGGTGGAAGATCTGTCCTTCTCTCTTTGTAACTCTGCCTTTCAAATAAAAACAAAGCGGAAGGGTGAGCACAGGGACTGGTCAGATACGGGGCTGTGTCCCCTCCCCCAGAGGTCAGACCCCAGGCTGGACGGTGACGAGGCATGCTGAAGCCTGGTTCCGCTCAAGGTGCTCCTGGCCCACCCACTCCCTTACTGAGGAGCTTTTTGGTTTTTTAATGATTTTCTTTTATTTAAAGGCAGGGTTACATTGGCAGGGGGAGAGAGAGAGTGTCCATCTGCTGGTTCTCTCCCCAAGTGGCAGCAATGGCTGGAGCTGGGCCAGGCCAAGGCCAGCAGCCAGGAGCTGCTTCTGGGTCTCCCACGTGGCTACAGGGGCCCAAGGACTTTGGTCATCTTCCACTGCTTTCTCAGGCCAGTGGAGGGAGCTGGATCAGAAGTGGAACAGCCAGGTCTTGACCTGCCACCCATATGGGATGCCGGCACTACAGGCAGAGGCTTAACTGGCTACGCCACAGCGCTGGCCCTGACACAGTTTTGTTTTGTTTTTTCAAGATTGATTTATTTATTTGAAACTTAGAGTTACAAAGAGAAGAGAAGAGGCAGAGATCTTCCATCCGCTGGTTCACTCCCAAAGTAGCTGCAACAGCCGGGCTGGGCCAGGCTGAAGCCAGGAGCCAGAGCTTCCTCCGGGTCTCCCATGTGGGTGCAGGGGCCCCAGCACTTGGGCCGTCGCCCGCTGCCTTCCCAGGTGCATTAACAGGGAGCTAGATCGGAAGCAGAGCAGCCGGGACTTGAACCTGTGCCCATATGGGACGCCAGTGTTTCAAACAGCGGATTCATCCAGGCTCCAGGGCACATATTTCTGTGTCCCAGATACTTAGGGTTAAAAGTGTGACTTGTGTCCACGTGGCTGGCTCAGCACGGCTGCTGAGAACAAGAGCAAGACGGGAACGGGGCAAGTCGGTGTCTGCAGACCCAGCTGGAATGCCCTGAGCTGGCCTTGGACCTCTCGTGCCCTGCCGGAGATGTCCTCTCCCCTCTCCCCGTCCTACAGGTGTAACCGTCCGGCGCTTCAGGTCTCAGCCTGCCTGTCCCACCCCATGTCCTTGCTCATACCCCTTGTGTCCCCTCTGCCCCTCCCCCACCCCTGCCTCCGCCCCCCAGTGCTGCTTCTGCTCTGCTGAGACCCGGAGGACAGGCATCGGCCTGGCCCCCGCTTTGCCTCGGCACCAAGCGGAGGGTCCCTGGAAGAGACCCGGGGTGGGACCGAGGCCGGTGCTGTGTCTCCCGCACCCCTCTCCTTCAGTGTGTAGATGGTGGCCGGGACGAAGAGCGACTGGGCCCTGCACTTAGTGAGCAGCTCGGCTCCAGCCCCTGCAGCTCCAGGTGGGGCGTGGGCCGCAGCTGGTCGGCAGCAGAGTGGGCAGTCCTGGCTCCACCCACTGCTCCGGCCTCAGCTTGTCTGGGGCGGGCCGCTGGTCTGTGCCCGTCACAGCCAGCACTGCCTCGGCCTCTGGGTCTCTGGAGCCCAGGGGCCCGTTTGGCATTTGCAACACAAACTGCCTCTCCCTGCAGGGCCTCCCAGTCCCCAGACGGTCTAGAGACGGCCCAGTCGGAGGACGAGGTAGATGAGCTGTCCCTCATCGACCACAACGAAATTATGGCCAGGCTAACACTCAAGCAAGAGGTGAGCACTCCTGGGCCTGGGCTCTGCGTCTCGCCCCCCAAAGCAACAGCAAGGGGGTTTGGGGGCACATGAGCTTGAGCACTCCAGGCCGCGGGGCCCAGAGGGAAGGAATTCCACAGGCATCCTGCCCCTTCTCCGATGTTCGTGGAAAGTGACTTGGGATCACTGTGGACGCGTCACGTGGCACCACCACGCTCCCAGGGGCCGGGCTGGAGAGCTTGTTAGAGCCATCGGCACATCGGCTCTCGGCACGGAGTCTGCACGGGGGCCCTCATCACTGCTAGACACTTTCGTGTTGTTGTAGCTGCAGCCTGAGGGGCGCGCGGTGGCTCCCTGCGTCCTGGGCCCCACTTCCCCCTCCTGCCGTGCAGTTCTGGAAACAGAAACAGCTTGGCGAGCCAGCCTTGCCCCCCAGCTCAGGTGACCGAGCTTCTGGCTCCGGGTCGCGAAGGCAGATGCTGCCCCCGTGCCCTCCTGGGGCCAGGCCTGTCGGGGGCAAGCAGGGCTGGGGGAGACGTTTGGCCAGATCGGTTCTTAACCCTTGCCAAAAATCAGGCTGTAGGCATAACTGCCCCACCCAGAGTGGGAGACCCAGGCCGTGGTCAGGACTCCGGCACCGGGCGTGTGGGCGTGCGCAGGAGGCCCAGAGAGGGCAGAGGCGTGTGGGCGTGCGCAGGAGGCCCAGAGAGGGCGGGGGGCGTGTGGGCGTGCGCAGGAGGCCCAGAGAGGGCGGGGGCGTGTGGGCGTGCGCAGGAGGCGGGGAGCAGCCTTGCTGCGGTCGCCTGGAGGAGAGCAGAGCGCGCGCGTGTTGGAGCCCAGGCATTGGCCCTGGGCATCCACGCCCTACCCGGGGGCAGCTGTCTGGCTCCTGGCCAGGTGGCTGACTTGTTGCTGTGGCGTGGAAGTAAGACCCCGTCCCTCACTGGCCGGGCAGGGCTGGCCACACAGAGTGAGCGCCTGCCACACTTCCTGCTCCTCGCACGAAGGCTCCACAGAGGAGCCGTGGCGTCACTCTGAGCGGCTTCTGCTGCCCCCTGGGAAACCAGATTCAGATTCAGGGCAGGCCGCCGCAGTGCCTGGCAGTGGTCCTGCCTCCCTCCTTGCCTCTGAGCCGGTGACACCGACCCCCTAACCCAGGTGCCCCGGGCCTGCTGATGTGTGGGCGGCTCCCTGCCCACGTACCGGGCATCCGCAGCCTGGTTCCAGCCTGCACACAGGGGAGCACGGGAAGGGGACTCGGGGTCCCGCGCCTGCCTGGTGCTCCCTGACCTCGATGGCCTCTTTTGCTGTCCTCACCGCAGGGTGACGACGGCCCAGACGTCCGTGGAGGATCTGGGGACATCTTGTTGGTCCACGCCACTGAGACAGACAGGAAAGGTATGGAGCCCCGCTCGGTTCTGCACGGCTGTTGGGCCGCTGGGCGGGAGCAGGGAGCCCACCCCCGGAGAGGCAGCGTGCCCACAGCCAGCGTGCCAGAGCGACCTCCCTCGGTGGGGGGCCGTGTGGAGGGCGAGGGGCGTGAGTCTCAGCAGATGATGGCTCGGGTGACGAGGCATCGGGCGGGAATACTGCGGTACCCCCGGGGGCGCCTGATCCCTTTCCTGACCTTCGAGCCGCTGTGTTATTCCAAACCCTTAGCTTGGGTTTGAGTCCTGAGCTCGGAGAGAAATTGCCAAGGAAGCGTCTGTTCGTGCAGGAGTCTCCCGCTTTGCGCAGTGTGCCCTGCCGGGCTGAGCGTCCTCTGCGTGGAGCCAGGCTGCTGCCCCTCATGTCTGGAGAAGCAGGGGTACCCCATCCCTAAAGCACCCCGTCAGGCGGGCTCTGGAAGGGGGTGAGGAGGGCCGTGAGGGGCGGCCTGGAGGAAGGTGCCAGCGGCCAGGGTCGGATGCAGCCTCCCAGCTGCGTGGTCTGCGCGCCTCTCCCCACACGCACCTTCCTTTTACATCTTTAAAAGTTACGAGAAAGGCCGGCGCCGCGGCTCACTGGGCTAATCCTCCGCCTTGCGGCGCCGGCACACCGGGTTCTAGTCCCAGTCGGGGCGCTGGATTCTGTCCCGGTTGCCCCTCTTCAAGGCCAGCTCTCTGCTGTGGCCAGGGAGTGCAGTGGAGGATGGCCCAAGTGCTTGGGCCCTGCACCCCATGGGAGACCAGGAGAAGCACCTGGCTCCTGCCTTCGGATCGGTGCAGTGCACCGGCCATGCGGCCATTCAGGGGTTGAACCAACGGAAAGAAGACCTTTCTCTCTCTCTCTCTCTCTCTCTCTCACTCTCACTCTCACTCACTGTCTAACTCTGCCTGTCAAAAAAAGAAAGAAAGTTACAAGAAAGAGGATGTAGCAGCCGTGTCCAATTGTGGAGGGACTGAAAACACCCCAGCCTTGAAGCTGGAACCACCCGGGCCCACAGCCAGCCTGTCCCTGCTTTCCGGGGAATTTCTGAGTTAGGAGAAGCCGTAGGAAAGGTGTGGGGGGGGGAGACCCGGCCACGGCCCTCCCAGGCCCAGCACGGCTCTGGCTCGCTGGCAGTGTTTCTGTGGCCCTGCATCTCCTGCCGCCCGGAGCCCCAGCCCCCTGCCTCATGCTTTCATTGGCTCTGTGGCCATCGAGCGAGGCCCCGCGCGACTCTGTCCTCTGTTGACTGGCCTTGCTGAAGGGGTGAGCCGCGCCCAGTCCATGCTCAGCCGCAGGCAGTGCGCAGGGAGCGCCATCATCCCCTTGCGGGGCAGCGGAACCCCTCCACCCCGCCTGACACGCCGGAGCTCTGTCCTCCACTCATCCGGAAGTGAAGGGCGGGAGCCCCAGAGCTGGCCCTGGACGGGAGCTGCTGTCCTGCAGGTGCAGCTGGGGCCAGGCCAGGGCCACCCACAGGCGGGTGTCAAACGCTCTGGTCCCTACTGCGAGCTGTGTGCAGCTGCAGCCTCTGCCTGAGTTTAAGGCCTCGAGGCTTGAGTCCCTCGGAACCCACAGTGTTTGTAGCTGGGAGCAGAGCTGAGGCGGAGGCGTGCCAGCTTACCCAGCAAGCTCCCCGGGCTGGCGGAGGCCCCGAACCCCGAGAGGCCCTGTAGCTCAGACCTGTCTGGGACCCGGCTGCCCGGCAGGGCCCAGCCAGGGGGCAAACAGGCGGGTGCCCTCGTTATCACACGACGCTTCGCCGGGGCTTGTGAGACTGCTGGGCTCACCCCGTCCAGGTCTGTCGTGCAGCCTGCGACCTCACGTTGCGTAAGAGCTCTGGTTGGAGTCCCAGCTGCTCCACTTCTTTTTTTTTTTTTTTTTAATATTTATTTTATTTATTTGAAAGAGTTAGAGAAGGAGAAGCAGAGAGCGAGAGAGGTCTGCCATCCACTGGTTCACTCCCGTTAGCCACAAGAGCTAACGGAGCTGCGCTGATCCGAAGCCAGGAGCCAGGAATTTCTTCTTCCAGGTCTCCCACGCGGGTGCAGGGGCCCAAGGACTTGGGCCATCTTCCACTGCTCTCCCAGGCCACAGCAGAGAGCTGGATGGGAAGTGGAGCAGCTGGGACTCAAACCAGCGCCCAAATGGAATGCCGGCACTGCAGGTGGTGGTTTTCCCTGCTACGCCGCAATGCCGGCCCCTGCTCCACTTCTGATCCAGCTCCCTGTTAATGCAGCTGGGAAAGCAGCAGAGGATGGCCCGAGTGCTTGGGCCCCTGCACCCGTTTAGGAGAACCAGATGAAGCTCTTGGCTGCTGGCTTAGGCCTGGCCCAGCCCCAGACATTGTGGGCATTTGGGGAGATCTCTCTGTCTCTAACTATCTTTAAAAAAAAAAGAAAAGAAAGAAAAAGCAGAGGTGCTGAGACCCTACCAGCAAAGAGCCGTGTGGACACTGGGAGGGGTGGTGCCCCATTCACCTCGCCCAAGTCCTAGCACAGGAGAGGAGCCCCTGCCATCAGCAGGCCTGGGCGTGAGCCCTCCCACGCTGCCTCCTGCCAGCACTGCTTGTCTCCCGAGTGAGGCGACAGCGGTCCCTGCCCCCCTGAGCTTGCTCTGGGCATTGACGATGTGTGTCACAGTGAGCCTTGGACACGTCCTTTGAGGGCTGCCATGGCTCCTGGCAGCGACGACCCACAAAGGTACATGGACATGCATCCGTTCTTCCAGCAGTGGGCACGGTTTGGTGCTGGTCCCCTCCCTACTTCCTTGCCTTTTAGGGAAAAAAAATAAACAAAAATCTGAACTTGACATCTAGCTGGGTTGTGGGTCCAGAAACAAGCATGTGATAGATTTGGACCCGACCCGCACAGGCCCAGGTCGGACCAGACTTGGGATGTTTCCAGCCTCAGTTGGGTGGGAGTGAGGTGGGGTTCCCTGAGATGGCTCTGCCTGCAGATTCGGGGATGCGTGAGGGAATAGGGGCCTGGGGAGCCAAGTTCCTGTTCTGCATGTGAGCTCAGCCCACAGTGAGGAGCCCAGAGTGGGAGCTGGGTCAGCCCTCGCCCAGCTCCCGCACAGCACAGCTCCACGGTCTAGGAGCCCAGCAGCCTGTCTGTCCCAGCCAGTGTCCACTCCGCGGAGTGGGGGTACGGTGGGGGTGACTCCCAGCAGCAAGTAAGTGGGAGCTGCTGGGTTTCCGTGTGCACCAGAGGGAAGGCAGAGCGGCAGGCGGCACTGCCAGCCCGTGCCCTGGCTGGAGCTGGGCGAGGGCCTCCCTGGCCCCGGGGTGTGCCCACTGCATCCTGCCCCGGCGAGCCAGCCCGCGGGTCTTCTCCCGCTCTCCCTTAGGGCTTGAGACGTCAGATTCCCCAAAGCTCTGGCGCTGCCGTAAAAGTACCTGCTGTCTGTGCTTTAGTCCCAGGTCCCACGGACACGTTCGCACTGTTTCCTCTGCCCGTGACCCGTAAGACCCTTCCCTCGTGGAGGCTTGTGGCAGCTGGGAAGAACCTCCCAATGCTAGTCCAAGGGCACACCCCCCCCCCCCCCAAGGGCGTGCAGCCAGTCTCTCCCTTGCCGGGCAGGCATCACTAATCAATCGCTGGGACCAGACAGCCTCCAGCCCAGTGCCGCCTGCCGTGGAATAAGGCGGCTGCTTTTCCTGGTTCTGATCCACCCTCTCCTTTGAGAGGCGGGCGGAGGGCAGATGATGGTGGGACCTACGGAGACTCCGCGTGGAGCCCCAGGCCCTCGGCCCCCGTGCGCCTCCCAGGCTTGCTCAGGGGCGTGTCTGCTCCCCCTGCAGACCTGGTGCTGTACTGCGAAGCCTTCCTGACCACCTACAGGACCTTCATCAGCCCCGAGGAGCTCATCAAGAAGCTGCAGTACCGATATCCTTCCCCAGGCGGGGAGCCGGTGGCCACACTGGCCAGTGGCAGGATTGAGTGGGGACTGGGGGGTCCCAGGGCCCAAGGTTCTCAGCCCACCCTCGTCTGTGTCCCGGCTTTGACCTTGGGGGGAGGGGACTGCGCTGTCAGCTGAACCTGCGGTTCTTCTGCAGGGAGCTGAGTGAGCGCGCCGACCTCAGCTGTGCTGCGGGGTCCCGAGCGAGGGCAGCGAGTGCCTGGTCTGCCCAGTTGCTGCCTGCCGCTTCTAGGCTGGGCCCCAGGGCATTGGGCGGGGGGGGGTACCAAGGTGGGCGGGGCTTGACCCAGCAGTGGACAGGCGGCCTCACCCACAGCTGGCATTGCCTCCTGTGCCCTGGACTGTATCTGCCTTCCGGGCCCATCCTCAGGAAATGTCACTTCCTGTAGTAATGGCCACGCAAGACCCCGGGGGCTTGGAAGGACCCCGTTACGTTGCCTCTTTGGCACATCCGGGCCTGCCTGTCCTGCTAGGCTCACTTGGAGCCCATGACCCACTGCTCCTGGGCCACCTCCCAGCCTCATGGCCCGTGACTGCCATCTGCTGGGCAGCGGCTGTCACTTGGGGCAGGAGGTCCTGAGCGCACTCCCTCCTTGTCCCGTGTGCCCTGAGCCGTCAGGACAGGCGTGGACAGCCCCTGTGTGCAGCTTGCCGGCCTGGCTGGGGAATGGCAGTCACACGGCTGTGTTGGACGGTGACCTCATCAAGCAGTGTGTTCACACGTGGGGTCTCATTCACCATAAACGTCCATATTTTTGTGTGTATGCTCCTAACTGCCGTATCACTTGGTGCCGTCCCGTCATTTCCTGCCACGTAGTTGAGGAAAAGTGAGGCACAGCCAGTGGCATAGCCAAGCCACATTCTCAGCCCTGCCTGCCTGGCCAGCTCGGTGTGTTCATGGGGACGCTGCAGTGTGGAGATCCCGGGCAAGGCTGTGAGCCAGGGGGCCTGTCCATCCTGGGCACCACGGCCTCTGGCACTGGAGAGCAGACAGGGCGGAGTCAGGGAGGGCCCTGGGGAGTTGGCGGCCTCCAGGGCAGACCTGCGTGCCAGCGGTGACTGGGGGGCTGCCTGCCATGGGGCCAGGAGCAGAGGCGGTCTGGACTGCTCGGGAAGCAGAACCCAGCCTAGTGTCGCACTGGCGAGAACTCGCAGGCAGCATCCAAGCCACTGCTGGGTGCAGAGCCCAGAGATGGGGACTCGCGGGAAGGATAGAGGGGCGCCTCGTTGCTCACCCACCGCCCAGGGCTTTGGTGTGGGGCCGCTATCCTCCCCCGAGGCGGAGGAAGGACGCTCTCGGTGTGTCAGTACCTTGCTGGGCACTGGGGCCGAGCCCAGCAGGCCAGCCCGGGCATGTGATGAGAGGTCGGTGGTTGGGGTCAGACAGGCCTGGACCCAACTCCAGCTCTGCAGCTCTGCCCCGCTGCACATAACCCAGGTCGTCCCTTCCAGAGGGCACTCGGTCCAGGGCCCCAGAGGGGGTGAGGACTCAGGAGCCAGCCCTCCCACTCAGGCCACACCCCCCTCCCGCTGTGTGCACAGCTTCTTTAACCTGTGCTCCACATACGAGAAGTTCTCTCCCTTCGCCGACACGTTCAAGAAGCGCGTGAGCAAGAACACGTTCTTCGTGCTGGTGCGAGTGGTGGATGAGCTCTGGTGAGTGCTGTGCCGGGGCCCGGCGGGGCGCAGCGTGGCAGAGGCGCAGAACGCGGTGGGGGTGCAGGCTCTCCTGCTGGGCGCGTGCACGCCCACAGCGCTGCCCCCTCTGGCTGGGACTTGCTCTCGCCCTTTGGGAGAGGGACGTGACCCACACGTGCCGGCTGCAGTATCCCCAGTCCTGGCCCAGGCCCTGGGGTTCCTCGTGGGGTCTCTCCTGGGGCCCCCCTCCCGCAGGCATCTTGGGACCGGTCCACAGTGGGCCCCTTTCAGCCTTGGCAGAGGTGGGGGCCGGGAGGTGGGGAGGGCGGCCTCGCCTACCTCCTCAGGGCTGTCACTCACTTAACAAGCACGGGTCCCTCTCCTGGGGGCGGAGATTGGTCCCTGCCTCCCCGTGTTGAGCTGCCACAGGGGAGAAGGCCTGGGGCAGCGGCTGGACAGCGGGGGAACAACCCCCGTGGGCGGCGCGGTGAGGAAGCTGGGCGCCCAGGGGCATTCTGTCCCGGCGGCCAGGAAGTCCTGCTGTCCCATTGCTGGGCGAGAGCCCAGGACAGGCCTTGTGGGGGTCTCTGTGCTGCGCCTGGCACTGCCGGGGACGCAGGCGGCCACCTCAGGGCCCTTGTCCTCGGCTCCGTCCCTGCGAGAAGGTTCCCAGCCGTGCGCTGGTCGCTGGCCGGGCCCCGCTGCTGCCTCTCACCTTGCCCTTGGGCCCTAGCCTGGTGGAGCTCACAGAAGAGATCCTGAAGCTCCTCATGGAGCTGGTCTTCCGCCTGGTGTGCAGCGGGGAGCTCAGCCTGGCCCGTGTGCTCCGGAAGAACATTCTGGACAAGGTGGACCAGAAGAAGCTGCTCAGGTGTGCCAACTCCGACCAGCCCCTGGCAGCCAGGGGCGTCGCGGCCAGGTGAGGAGCCCCACAGCCTCCCATCCCGGCGCTGCCCAGGTATGCTGGGCTCACGCCGTGGGCTGGGCTGGGCGTCATTCATGCCATGCGCGTCTTCGTTAGCGGCAGCTGGGGCGGCAGGGCGGGGGGGGGGGGGCCAGCAGGGCGGGGAAGTCTGGCACGGGCGTCCTGGCACCAACACGGCTGCCCTGTGCTGTCCTGAGCGTTCCTAGGGCGGCTCAACGGCGGCGACCTGGGGCTGGCCGAGGTCCGCAGCAGCTCGAGCTGTGGGTAACTCGGGGCTGGATCAGTTCGGCCTCCATTCGCATAGCACCGGCCACCTAGAGCTAGGGTCAGGCTGTGTCCCGAGCGTGTCTCTGCCCTTGGGCGCCTGGACCGACCATGAGCTTACAAGCAAAGCCCCGTCTCCTGGTCCTGGAAACTACAGGACGCACCCCGCAGATGCGGGAGAGAGGCAGACGGCGTTGTCCCAGGAGGAACTGCGGCCGGGGGCCCCGGGCAGCCCTGGCGCTGCCCTGCCCGCTGCGCGTGCTCCCGGCTCCCCGGCTCCCCGGCTGCGGCACGGCTCCTGCTCGGCCGCGCGGCCCGAGTCCTGCCCGGCCGCGCGGCCCGAGTCCTGCCCCGACCAGTCGTCCCGTGCCGCTGTCTTCCAGGCCAGGGACACTGCACGACTTCCACAGCCATGAGATAGCCGAGCAGCTCACGCTGCTGGACGCCGAGCTCTTCTACAAGATAGAGGTGCGTACGGCTCGGGGGCCGGGGCCAGGGGCGGGCAGGCCAGAGCCCCGGCCCTGCCTGACCTCTCCCTCCTGCAGATCCCCGAGGTCTTGCTCTGGGCCAAAGAGCAGAACGAGGAGAAGAGCCCCAACCTGACGCAGTTCACGGAGCACTTCAACAACATGTCCTACTGGTAGGGGCCGCGGGGCGGCGCCTGTTGTCCTTGGCACGGCGAGGGTCTGGCCTGTCGTTCCTCCGAGCTCCTGTGGGGATCCCTGGGTGTTAACAGTGAGCCCACAAGCCAGCGGGGACAGGTGGGGCCCTGCAGAACTGGAGGGCTGGTTGAGGAGGCACCAGAGGCTCAGCGGGAAGAGTGCCGGGATCCATTAGTAATGTCTGCCATGGAGGTGTGGGGACCAAGTTCGCACCCTGGGCTGGTCATTACCAGTCCCTCGGCCCCTGTACTGCTTAGGCTAGGCCAGCAGGGCCGAGGCTCATGCCGTGGCCTGGTGAGCCAGCACTCCTACTCCTACTGGGCTTTTCCCTCCAAAAGCAAGGAAGCCCAGCAGGCTGTGAGCGCTCCGACCGGCCACAGCCTCTGAGTGGCCACGCAGCCTCCTGCTGCCCGGCCCACACCCCCCGTCGCAGATGCCGCGAGGACTGCTTATTGGAGACAAATAGGACCGGTGTCCCCCCTTCTCTGCAAAGTGCACGCCGCAGTAGCAACCCCACGCTCAGCTCCGGGTTTGGCCCGATGAGACATGGTGGTTTCTGGGGCTGAGGAAAGGGGCACAGGGCCGCACGCCCACCTCCAGTGCCTGCCCCGTGCTGAGCACAGGAGGCTCAGGGCGCACCTCACAGGGCCTGGCCGGGCTCCTTCGGAACCATGGTCCTCAACTACACCGCGCGCGGTGCCATCTTCCCCGGCACCAGAGGCGGCACGGCCTGGCACTTCCACCACGTAGCCCTGTGGTGGCCCTGAGACCACGGGCAGCTGAGGCCAGCACGCGTCCCCCAGCACGCGTGGCGCAGCGAGCCTGGTTTTGGTTTTGTCTTTGGCTGCTGCTAAGATTCCGAGGGCTCGTTCCCTCATGAACCCTCGTGCCAGCTGGTCGTCCCGAGGAACTTCCCGGCCCCGGTGGGGCTCGGGGGGGCCCTTGGCAGGCGAGGCTCCGCCGGGGTCCCCCCACGCCTCCAGGTGCACTGTGGGGTCCCTGGGGGCCTGAGCCCAGCCAGCGGATGTCCGGGACACCGGAGGTCCTTGCTGTGTGCCCGGGGCGGCCCAGTGCCTGCAGGAACTGCTGGGCTCAGCCCCCCCCCCCCCCCCCCCGCAGGGTGCGGTCGATCATCATGCTTCAGGAGAAGGCCCAGGACAGGGAGCGGCTGCTCTTGAAGTTCATCAAGATCATGAAGGTACCGTGGCCGGGCCCTCCTGCAGCAGCCATGGGCCCAGGCCTGGGCCGCGCCGGGCCGCACCGCCTGCCCGCGCCCGCCCTCACCCACCCACCCCCCTCCCCGCAGCACCTGCGGAAGCTGAACAACTTCAACTCCTACCTGGCCATCCTCTCCGCGCTGGACTCGGCACCCATCCGCAGGCTGGAGTGGCAGAAGCAGACGTCCGAGGTGGGTGGGCGCCAGTGGGCCCGGTGTGCGCCAGCGGTTTCCGTCCCTGTCTTCGGTCATCGGCCTCGGAGGCTTCGTGGCTGGATTGGGGGGGGGGGCGGCGGCATGTCACAGCACCTGCCGCCTGGTACCGCCAGTGCATGCCGGGGTCCCAGCCTCCCCAGCACTGCCCTGGGCCTTGTTGGGTAGGGTCTGCAGAGCAGGTGCTGACGGCGGAGGGCAGGATGCTGGGGGGAGGGAGGCCCCCTGGGTGTGTCACTCGTACCTGCCCAGGACGGCCAGGAGCTTCCTGGGGACGGAGTTCCTCCCACAGGGTGCAGAGGCCTGGGCAGCCCTGGAGCAGGCAGGAGTGGGGCCCCTCGGGTAGCTGGACACAGGCCGAGGCGTTCACATCGCTGGGGGAGGGCTCCGGCCTGGACTGTGAGGGCCTGCGGGCTGCGGACGAGCCGGACCCTGGTCCTCAAGGAGGCTGGGCTGGCCGGCACGCCTAAAGGGGAAGTCACGCAACAGCACTGTGTGGACAAGTGGGAAGTCACATGGGGGCTGCACAGACCCTGGAGGCCCTGGGGAGGCAGGGAAGGCTTCCTGGAGGAGCTGGCGTTTCAGGGAGAGGCGCCCAGCAGGGGCAGAAGCAGAGAAGCAGGAAGGGGAACGGCATACCAAGCCGTCGCCCGCGTGGTGTCTGCAGCCAGCCAGAAGCAGCTCGGCCCATGGGGGCAGCCAGGCAGGGCCCCGCTGCCCCTCCCTGTGTGCGGGAGGAGGGAGGGCGGGCTCCAAGCCGGGAGGCGCGGGTCAGCAAGCGTCCCGGAAGCCGGGACAGGAGCGTGTGTGCCTGCGGCTCGGCCAGGACCCTGAGGTCCCCGGCACCGGGGCTCGGGGGGCTGCTCCGTGAGAGGGGACCGGGCCCCTCCGCCGGGGGAGGGCTCAGGTCCGGGTGGCGCTGGCCGGTCGTGGGTCCCCGCCCTCGCTAACACACGCTGTCCTCGCAGGGCCTGGCTGAGTACTGCACGTTGATCGACAGCTCGTCCTCCTTCCGAGCCTACCGGGCCGCCCTCTCGGAGGTGGAGCCCCCCTGCATCCCCTACCTGTGAGTAGCGGCCTCCTCTGGGAGTCCTCACCGAACCTTGCACCTTGCAGCACAGCTGCCACAGGAGGGCAGGGCGCCAGTGAAGGCGCCCCTGCATGCGTCAGGCCTGGCGGCGCCCTAGAAGACCCTGAGGGCACTGGGAATCCCCAGGTGGGGGCCGCGGGAGGGGCAGCCGCGCTTGGTGGACTAGGGAGTCGGCGCTGAGCGGACGGTTGTGGGGTTGAGGGCCTGTGGCGGTGCAGGCGCGTCGGGAGGGGGCAGGGACCAGCGGTGGCCTGGGCTGAGTGTGTGGTCCCCCTCACCCACCTGCCGGCCTTCTGCCCCACCCGGCACTCACACACCCTCTCCTCGTCTGGCCCTCCGTCCTCCACGGTCACAGTCCCCCGTGGGCCTGCATGGGGTGGGGTGCGGATCACCTCGCCAGAGCGGCTTCCAGGGGGCCCGACAAGCGGTCCCAGACCCCGAGCCCTCGAGGCAGGGACGTGCTGGGGGGCAGACAGCCGCGTCCGAGCCGCTCCCGGGGTCCCCCGGGTTTGGGCGCTGCCTGGCGGGCAGTGGAGCCGCCCTCCCAGCATGCCCGGTTCCTCCCTCGCCCTCACAGGGGGCTGATTCTGCAGGACCTGACCTTCGTCCACCTGGGGAACCCGGACCACATCGACGGCAAGGTCAACTTCTCCAAACGCTGGCAGCAGTTCAACATCCTGGACAGCATGCGACGCTTCCAGCAGGCGTGAGTGCCGGGCTGGGCTCCCGGGCGGGCGGCAGGGGCCACCCAGGGCGGGCCGGGCTGGGCAGGCTGACCCCACACAGAGGGCAGGCGGAGCGAGCCCAGCTCGGGGCCCGCTCGCTCCCTGTGCCGCCGGCGCCGCACTGAGCAGTGCCCTCTGTGGTGGGGTGCGGGGGGGGGGGGACGCAGAGGCACGGCGGGGTGCTGGGTGGGACGCCAGGATGCACCCCCCCCCCGACCTGACCCCCTCTCCACCCCCCCAGGCATTACGACATCCGGAGAAATGATGACATCATAAATTTCTTCAATGACTTCAGTGACCACCTGGCCGAGGAGGCCCTATGGGAACTCTCTCTGAAAATTAAACCCAGGAACCTCACGCGGAGGAAGACAGACCGGGAGGAGAAGACCTAGGGCAGGCACCGGGAGCCAGCAGAGCCCAGAGGACCTCGCACCTGCAGGCCTCAGAGCCACGGGCCTGGCCAGACCTCGGCCGGGCCGGGCCGGGCCGGGCCGGGCCGGGCCGGAGCTTCCTGCCTCCCCCGGGCAGAGCCGGCAGCGGGCGCGGTGCTGACGGGAGCGCGGGCCCCGGACTTGGTTGTGTTTTGCTTTCACTTCTTCCCCCCTTGCCCTCCCGCCCTCTGCCCTGCGGCCTGGGAGCAGCGCTGAGTCAGTGTCCACAGACCAGGAACGGCCCGTCCCCCCTCCCCCAAGCCCAGGGGTCCCCACGTGGCAAGTGAGGAAGGCCCGGGGAGCTCGGGGGGGGGGGGGGGCCGCGCTCCGCTCAGGAGGTTAGGTCGGGCAGAGGCAGAGCAGCCCGGGGAGGCGCGGTGGTGAAGTCCGGCGGCCTGCAGCCGGCCCCACGTCCCGGGCTCCCTGCGGCACTGGGGACAGCAGGCCTGCTGCCTCTCGGGTCCCCGCCCCGGGCAGCCTGTGTCTTGGCTGGGAGCCCCATTGAGCTCCTAGGGCATCGGCTGACCTGCGGCGGGGCAGGGGCGGGGGCAGGGGCGGTCTTCTGCCCTGGGAGAGGCCAGCAGCTCCTTCTCTGCGCTTGCTCTGTGCCTTAAACACCATCTCCCGCCCTTCCAGCCTCTCCCCTCGCCCGCCGTGGCCGGGCTCCTGCAGCGCATCAGGCTGTCCCAGTGCTTCCCGGGACCCGCGCACAAGCCGGGGAGAGGCCGTGCTGCCGAGGCCGGCTCACTCCCCAGAGCAGGCGTCTTCCAGCCCGGGCTGCTGAGGGCGACAATCCGGGCCCGGCCCGCGGGCTCGCGTGGGACCCTCGGCGCGGCCATCGGGGGGCGCTGCCCCGCGTCAGACTGTGCTTCCTCCGCCCACCCCGTGAGCAGCGGGCCGGTAGATGTCCCAAGGCCGCGTCCTTCGAGTCCTTGCTGGCTGTTTGAGCCGCTCCTTTCCGGAAGAGCGCGGGGCCGTCCCCCGTGGCGTTCTGTTCGTCCTGTACATAGAGGGCAGGAGACCCGTGGGTGGCCACGAGGCGCCCCCTGCCGGCCCCGGCCGGCACCTGTCACTTTATTATTTAAAGCGTGTGCGTGTGGAGTCGCTGGCTTGTTAGCAGTTGTGTGTGGGGTTGGGTTTTCGTTTGCGCCCTCTTTGAAGTCCTTTCATTTCAGCTGTTGCTTGCTGCCGCCAGGCTCAGCCAGCGCCGCGCGTGCCGCTGGGATCCCCGGGGCCCGTGGTGGTCTGAGCAGAGGAGCCGGGCAGACGCGGCGAGGCCAGCGTGGGCTTTAACTTATTGGCCGGCAGGCTTGCTGCCTCCCGCCTGCCGGGGACAGACAGGAGCGGGGCGCTCTGCTGCGGTGTGAGAGCCAGGGAGGGCCAGTCCGCGCGCTCCCCAGTGTTACATTGTAATATAAACCCCAGCTCGTGTCTGTGGGCGGCCTCGCCCTGCCCTGCGACTCTTCAGACGTGTCACTTTTATATGAAAGGAAATAAACTGACAAAAGCCGCCGCCCGTGTGCTGTCAGCACGGCCCTGCTCTGGTGGGGGGGCTCTGGCCGACCCGGGCCCTGCCGGCAGGTTGCTTTCCTGAACTTCCCTCCTGGGTCCTGTGCACTAGACGTTCAAGTGGGCACCGCCATCCTGGGGTCAGCTGGGAAGGACACTCTAGGGGCCTGGAGCTCTGTCCCGCACCTGCGGTGTCTGCAGGCCCCGCCCCCTGCAGACCCCTCTGTCCAGAGGTGGGGCCACAGCTGCTCCGCATACACTCACCGCCCACCCCACAGGCCAGGTCCCCTGGGAGCCCCATTCCGGGCATGGGGGGTTGGGACAGAATCCTCTGGCATGCACCCCTCCCCACTCCTGATGGTGCAGGAACTCGGGGAGATGGGGACACCCCACTCACCCCACTGCAGGTGGCAGCCTCAGTACACCCCGTGAAGGGGGGACCGGTGGCCTGGGCTGGGCCTGCTGACCCGAGAGGGGCCCCGCTCAGTGAGCCCCCATCACCCCCGGCCATTCCCCGGGCATGGCTGCCCTCCACTCTCCATCACAGGCGGTGTCCCCTTCACCTGCTGTCTTCCAGTTTGATCAGTGACCACCATAAGGCCAGAGAGAAAGCAGTCCACCCCGCGTCCCCCTGCCCCCACCTCTGACCGAGGTGTGTACCTCGGGCTGCAGCTGCCCTGGAGGGCCAGGGGGTCCCCTGAGGCCACAGTCGTGGGCGCCAGGTCTCCGCCCAGGGCCTGGGGATCTGCGTGCTTGGCCATGCTGCACTCAGGGACAGCAGCACCAAGGGGCCTGGGCTCGAGGCCGGGCCCCCCTGGTGGAGGCGGGGTCCAGCACTCGCTCAGCCAGCCTGCTCCCGGTCACTCGCTCACTGGGGCACCTGACGTAGGACCCAGGGCTCCTGCCGGACCTGCGGCTGCCAGACCAGGCGGACGGCCTTGGGTGGGTTCTTCCGGCTTTGCCTGCTGAAAGCGAGTTATCAGCGCTTGTGCGTTAACCCTCGCAGCCAGGTCTATACAGCTGCACCCCTCGGGTGGGAAACCTCCCCAGGGAGTGGCACAGCCACGCCACGAATAGGGAGTGGTGTGCGTGACGTCAGGGAAGTCGGGGCCGGTCCTTCCGCCACCCGGTCCAGATGGGCCGAGGAGACGGGACAGCGACTCCCGACCCACTGTGTGGCCGCCCGGGCCAGACTCTGCCAGTTCAGGGTGACTGCAGGCCGGGGCACCTAGGAGGGCAGACGCAGGAGTTCCGAAGTGCCCTCGGCACCCCCACACCTGCCGCGCACACAAGTCAGGCAGAGCAGGGTCACCTCGCGAAGGGAACGGCCGCCACTCGCCCACCTGCCGGGCCAGACACAGCTCGTGCCCTCTCCTCCCAGGGCACACGGGCGACACTCCCCAGGCCCTTGCCTGAGATCCGAGGGCAAAGCCACATGTGCCACCGGGGCCGGACACTTCAGAGCCTTTGTGCCACCTGCCCGCTCCCTGCTGAGGTGCCGGGATCCCAACCGGAGGGAGCAGGCCCCCCAGCTTATACTTGGGCTGGTTAGGCCACTGAGGTGGACTTCACTGTTCTCTGGGCTGCCCTCGATGCCCCCCACGTTATAACCAACTGAAAGAAGCCGTATAATCACCCGGAAAATCACCAAACAGCCTTTGTTAAAAATGCAACACCCGGGGCCGGCGCTGTGGCGTAGCAGGTAAAGCCTGCGGTGCCAGCATCCCATATGGGCGCCGGTTCGAATCCCAGCTGCTCCGCTTCCAATCCAGCTCTCTGCTGTGGCCTGGGAAAGCAGTGGAAGATGGCCCAAGCCCTTGGGCCCCTGTCCCCGCGTGGGAGACCAGGAGGAAGCTCCTGGCTCCTGGCTTCAGATCAGCACAGCTCTGGCCGCTGCAGCCATCTGGGGAGTGAACCAGCAGATGGAAGACCTCTCTCTCTCTCTAGCTCTCCATCTCTCTGTGTGTAACTATGACTCAAATAAATAAATAAATCTTTAAAAAATCATGCAACACCCATTCACAAGGCCGATTAGGACGCCGCTAGGGGCGCTGCCTCCCACATGGGAGTGCCTGGGTCCGAGTCCCAGCTCTGCCTCAGATTCCCACTTCCGCTCACGCACACCCGGGAGGCAGCAGGCGAGGGCTGCAGCACGTGGCTCCCCACCACGCACATGGGGCTGGATTGAGAGCCAGGCCCCTGGCTCAGGCCTGGCCCAGCCCTGGTTAGTGCAGGCATGTTGGGGAGGGAGCCAGCAGATGGAAGCTCTCTGTCTGCCTTTAAATTCATTTTTTTTTTTTTTGACAGGCAGAGTGGACAGTGAGAGAGAGAGACAGAGAGAAAGGTCTTCCTTTGCCGTTGGTTCACCCTCCAATGGCCGCCGAGGGCGGCGTGCTGCAGCCGGCGCACCGCGCTGATCCGATGGCAGGAGTCAGGTACTTCTCCTGGTCTCCCATGGGGTGCAGGGCCCAAGCACCTGGGCCATCCTCCACTGCACTCCCTGGCCACAGCAGAGAGCTGGCCTGGAAGAGGGGCAACCGGGACAGAATCCGGCGCCCTGACCGGGACTAGAACCCGGTGTGCCGGCGCCGCAAGGCAGAGGATTAGCACTGGCCTAAATTCATTTATTTTTAAAAATTGCCAACTAGACACAGACACCTCCTCAGTGTGACAAAGACCCTTGTCCTACCCTGCGCGGGGAGGGGACTTGGTGCGGGACACTCAGCGCCACCTGTAGCGGGAAGCCAGGGCGCCCGCCATCGCCTGGCCCGCGCGCATGGGCTATGCTGCAGCTCCCGCCTGACACTAAGAAAGGGACAAGAGCCAGCCAGAACGCACGCCCCACAGGGTGGCTCGCGGGGCAATGGACGGAGACCAGAGAGCCCTCCGCACAACCAGCAAGCAACTAGAGCCTGCGGCTCTTCAGGGCCCCCACGGAGCTCATGCCTGGTGCCCGGACGGGTGAGGCCTTCGTAGGGAAAATGCCGAGACCACAAAGTCCTGTACACAGGAGCAGGTGCGCGGCCAGCCAGTCCTTTCTTCAACTGCCAGAAAACCTGCAAATTCCAGTTTGTTCCAAGACAGCCTCTCCTAACATCAAATTCCCAGTTTAATTTAATGCGTGTGGTGGTTTCTCCTACAATGTTGAAGAAAGAACTCGGCTGGGCACGCCAGGCCTGCCTGGAGCCCCCCACCCCGAGCCACGGGGGAGACCAGGGCGGGGGCTCCCCCCAGTGGAGACAGCAGGCAGAGCAGCACTTGTGCAAAAAGGGCATGTGTCAGGGGCCGAGCGTGGGGCCAGCAGGCCACGCCACCGCCCGTGGCACCCCGCGGACACGTGGCTTCCCTTCCGGCTCCCTGCTAATGCACCCAAGTGCTTGGACCCCCGCTGCCCACGTGGGAGACCTGGATGGCACTCCCGGCTCCTGGCTTTGGCCCGGCCCAGCCCTGGCTGTTGTGGCCACTTGGGGAGTGAACCATGGATGGAAGACCTCCCTCTCTCTCTGTCTCTCTGTAGCTGCCTTTCAAATACATAAAGCAATCTTTTAAAAAATAAAACGCCAGAGGCAAAAAGGCCCCGTAGCCCAGGACTCCACAGACGAAATGTCCGTGAAAACTGCAGAACGGGAGGCAGCCTTGCCGGTGCCCGGATGCAGCTTTGGGGGTGCTGCAGCCCGCCGAGGTGTGCGCAGCTCTGCGCATTTGCTGCGAGTCATGGAATCGCACGCGCAGAACGGGCGCCTTTTATGAATGCGCATCAGGCCTCAGTACGCTGGCTTGGAAACGGTTTTCCCAAATCAGGGCCAGTTGTCGTTGCAAAGCTCCTGGGGTCGTGCTCAGCCGATGCGATCGGTAGCAGAGACGCCGGGGGCCTCCTGGGAACGGGGCCTCCCGGAACGGGGCCCGGCCGGGGCGCTGCTGGCTCACCCTTCTTGCTCTAGCGCAGGGCTGCTGGACAACCGAGCGCAGATTCGGACACTCCAGGCGGATGGCCCCCAGGGACCACCCGGCTGTGGCCCTGCCGCCGTGGGCACCGTGCGCCCCCTGGTGGCCACTCTCGATCACTCCAGGAGGCCGTTCCACGCCAGCCCACGGGGCTCAGACACGAACCTGAGTGCACCACGGGGAAGCTCCAAAAACAGACGCCAGAGTCAGCGGCCAGGAAAGCTTCCAGAAGACGCGACGTCTTCCACAGGGCAGAAACGACGCTGGGGCCCGGAGGAGGCAGGATACTCGCAGCCCGACGGATGGAAGGAGCCACGGCCGCCTGAGCATCTGTCTGTCCAGAATGAACTCCGGGTCCCATAAGACCCGTGAACCTGAGGCGCAGCCGTGCCCAGGCAGGTGGCCGCCAGGGTGGCAGCGAGGGCGCCAACCTAGCCAAGGCCCCGCCAAGGACGTGGCGGATGGTGAGGCGACAGGGAGAGGTGTCAGCCACCTGCCGTGCTGGGCAGGGAAGCCACGGCCACAGGCACCGACGGGGGCTCAGCCCTGGGCGCAGCCACACAGCCAGACAGCGTGGGGACCAAGCCCTCTGGGGAACCACAGACAGCCACACCACACAGCACCTGCACCCTGTACTGGGTGGGTCTCAAAATCCACAGCCGTCCGGCCGGCGCCGCAGCTCAATAGGCTAATCCTCTGCCTAGCGGCGCCGGCACACCGGGTTCTAGTCCCGGTCGGGGCGCCGGATTCTGTCCCGGTTGCCCCTCTTCCAGGCCAGCCCTCTGCTGTGGCCAGGGAGTGCAGTGGAGGATGGCCCAGGTGCTTGGGCCCTGCACCCCATGGGAGACCAGGAGAAACACCTGGCTCCTGGCTCCTGCCATCGGATCAGCGCGGTGCGCCAGCCGCAGCGCGCCGGCCACGGCGGCCATTGGAGGGTGAACCAACGGCAAAGGAAGACCTTTCTCTCTGTCTCTCTCTCTCTCACTGTCCACTCTGCCTGTCAAAAAAAAAAATAATAATAAAAAAAAATAAAAATAAAAAAAATAAAAAAAAATCCACAGCCGTCACAGACAGCTAAAAGGTACCGAAGGGCACAGCCGGCGCTGTGGCACTGTGGGTAAAGCCGCCACCTGCAGGGTGCTGGTTCCAGTCCCAGCTGCTCCACTTCCGATCCAGCTCCCTGCTGTGGCCTGGGAAGGCAGTGGAGGATGCCCAAGCGCTCGGGCCCTGCACCCGTGTGGGAGACCCGGAGGAAGCTCCTGGCTCCTGGCTTCACTGTAGCCATCCGGGGAATCAGCAGACCGAAGCGTCTCTCCCTCTCTCTAACTCTGCCTTTCAATAAATGAATCTTACTAAAAATGTGCGCTGCAAATACAGGCCCCATAAAACGCACTAGCCTGCTGGGCTCCCGCCAGGAAGGCAAGCCGGACCTCCAGGCCAGCAAAGCAGCCGGCATCCCAAAGGGCAGGCACGAGATCCCACAACGGCTGAGTCTGTACACACCTAATAGATGACACGGCCTCCACATACGCACCGCACAGCAGGCAGAACAAGGAGAAATGGACAAATCACACGAAGAAGAGGAAGGGCAACGTGTGGTGCAGTGGGTTAAGTCGCCACTTGTGACACTGGTGTCCCACACCGAGGTGCTGGGTTCGAGTCCTGGCTGCTCCACTTCCAATCCAGCTCCCTGCTAATGCGTCTGGGAAAGCAGCAGAAGACGGCCCGAGTGCCTGGGCCCCTGCACCCGCGTGGGAGACCCGGATGGAGTTCCAGCTCCTGGCTTCAGCCTGGCCCAGTGCTGGCTGTTGTGGCCATTTGGGGAGTGAAGCAGCAGATGGAAAAATCTATCTCCTCTCCCTCTCCCTCCCTGCCTCTCCCTCTCTCCACCCCTCTCCCTCCCCCCTCCTCTCTCCCTCCCTCTCTCCATCTCTCTCTCTCCCTCCTTCCCTCTCTCCCTCCCTCCCTCTCCCCTCTCCCTCTTTCTCCTTCCCTCTCCCCCTCCCCCCTCCCTCTCCTCCCTCTCCCTCCCCCCTCCCTCCCCCCTCCCTCTCCCCTCTCTCTCCCAACCCCCCCCATCTCTTCCCTCTCTATAACTTTCAAATAAGTAAGTAAAGATTTTTAAAAAGAAAAAATGAAAGAAGCTGGAAACATGAGGTGTTTGGACGAGATGAGGCAGTGACCCAGAGACACCAGCAGCCGGTCACAGGAGCGAAAACGACAAGCCACGCCCACCCGACACAGGTGAGGTCACCACCGCTGGCCTCCTCTGGGACAGGAAGTGAAGGTCAACCCAAGTCACCCGGTAACAGAACAAGCTCGATCGTTTCTCAGCGGACACCGGGCCATCATACACCCAGTGTCCAGGCAGGCTCGCTAAAGAACGGGGCTGGCACCTCACATGGGCACCGGTTCCGGACCCGGTGGCTCCGCTTCCGATCCAGCTCTCTGCTGTGGCCTGGGAAAGCAGTGGAGGATGGCCCAAGTCCTTGGGCCCCTGCACCCCCATGGGAGACCTGGAGGAAGCTCCTGGCTTCAGATCGGCACAGCTCCAGCCACTGTGGCCATCTGGGGAGTGAACCAGCGGGTCTCACAGAACCAGACCGACCTCCCTCCCTCCATCCCTCCCTCCCTCCCTCCCTCCCTCCCTCTCTCTCTCTCTCTCGCTGCCTCTCTGTAACTCTGCCTTTCAAATAAATAAATAAATAAAAGAAAATACATCAGGGAAATGTTTTAAAAGACCTAAATAAATAAGAGAATTCACTGTGTTTATTGTAATGGTCCACAAATTAGTCCGGATATAAAACCACACCAGGCAAAAATCCTTAGCGTGTGTGAAAGCTGACAATAGATTCTAAAACTTAGCAGAGAGCCAAAGGACTTTAAATGGCCAGGACCCTCACAGACGCTGGTGGGCTTGATCCACCCAAGGTCGACTGCCCCCGAGGTTCACAAGGGAGTGGGGGCGGGGGCTCAGGTCAAAGTGAGCCATGGAATCCGCTCCAGGCAGGTGCACCTGTGCAAACCAGCCAGCGCCACGAGCTGGGCCGCGTGGTGAGCCGCGAGCGGGGCCGTGTCCGGTCAGCCACGGAGGGAGGGCGCGCGCCGTGGAGGCAGCATCCAGCTGATGTGCCCTTGCTTTCACCCACTGACACACCCAGGCTCACACAGGCAGCTGCCAGGGGGAGAGGGCGTGGCAGCCTGGGGCCGCAGCCCACACAGGGAGTCCTCGGGGCTCCTGACGCGGTTGCGGGCGTCCTGAGGGGGAGACCCAGGAGCGGATGGGCCCCGGGCCAAAGGCTCCACGCGATGGGCGTCCGAGAAACACATCCAATACCGCCCCCGCTGCACGGCACACATCCCAGGACGCGTGAGCCGACGGGGATGGAAGCTCCTGGCAAAGTCGCGCCAGCCCGGCTGGAGGTGGGGTTGGCAGTCGGACGGCCGCAAGGTCCCTCAGAACAGTGCCCGGGGGAGGGTGAAGGCCAGGGCCCCAGGGCCGCCTTGGGGGAGGCACCGAGGACACCTGGCTCAGGTGGGTGCCCCAGTCCCGCAGAGGTCTGAGCTCAGAGGCCACTGCCCAAAGCCACAGCAAAGCCGCCCTCTCCTGGCCCCTGGGTCCCCTCCGCAGGTGTCAGGGACGGAGGCGCGGCCGGGCTCAGGGCAGGTAGAGGGCCACCACCACGTAGATGACCCAGCTGGTGGACACGAAGAACCCAAACAGCAGGCTGAAGAGCACGAGGGCGCGGGCCTTCCGCGAAGCCGCCTCGGCCTGGCTCAGGTCGCCCCTGCCCAGGGCTGCGCGGGTCTGCAACAGGGCAGGGCGGGGTCAGCGGACACACAGGGCCCCTGCTCCCACCCCAGCCCGGCCCGGCCCACACCATGGGCCAGGCTCAGGCCACAGACCGGAAAACAAGCCCTGGGAAGTTCCGCGACTGCGCGTCACGGCCCCAGCCTCATCCCCTGCAATCCCTACAGCCCCCCCACCCCGAGGTTGGGGTCGCTGCGGCCCCCACTCTGAGGGGAAGGACAGCGGCTCCGAGAGGCCGAGTGACCAGCCTCCCAAGCCCCACCTCTCAGCCCTCCTAACAGCCATGGCCCCCGTCCCAGCCTGCTGATGGCCGTGCACAGGGGGGTGGCCAGCTGAGTGAGGCCGGGGGCCACCCAGTCAGCCCTGGGCACCGTGCTGAGCCAGCCTACTTCTGTCTGGCAGAATGGCGTCACTCTGGCTCACTGGGTCCCCAGGTCCAGGGCTGTGACCAACAACATCAAGAAAGACGATGGGAGGGTGATGGAGGAGTGGATGAGTGACAGGTGGCTGGATGGCTGGATGGACAGATGAGTGATGGATGGATGGGTGGGTGGGTGAATGAGTGACAGGTGGATGGGTGGGAGGATGAGTGACAGGTGGCTGGATGGCTGGATGGACAGATGAGTGATGGATGGATGGGTGGGTGGGTGAATGAGTGACAGGTGGATGGGTGGGAGGATGAGTGACAGGTGGCTGGATGGCTGGATGGACAGATGAGTGATGGATGGATGGGTGGGTGGGTGAATGAGTGACAGGTGGATGGGTGGGAGGATGAGTGACAGGTGGCTGGATGGCTGGATGGACAGATGAGTGATGGATGGATGGGTGGGTGGGTGAATGAGTGACAGGTGGATGGGTGGGAGGATGAGTGACAGGTGGATGGATGGGAGGATGATGGATGGATGGATAGATGGATGCATAGTTGAGTGATGGATGGATGGATGGGTGGGTAGATGGATGGATGACTGACAGGTGGATGAGTGACAGGTGGAGGAGCAAGCCCCGCCCTCTGTTAGACGGACATCCCCGAGGGCAGCCCCGAGGCCCCCAGGCTCAGGCTGTATCCTGAACCGGTTAGCTCAACTGTCAGAGCAGACCCGGCGGCACAGGCGGACACAGGAGAGGAGGGCGTCGCCGTCCGAGAGGGGCAAAGACCCCACGAACACCTGGGGCCCGCACTGGCCAGCGGCTCGGCGGCCTCCACGGGGGTCCTGGGTGGCCCCGGCAGCTGCCTACCTCGTAGGAGTACACGATGGCAATGCACCCGGTGAGCAGGCAGCAGAAGAGGGTCACCAGCACCGACTCCACCATGTAGTCCTTGGGCACAGGCCTGCGATCCACGGCCGCGGGGGCGGCCACGCCTGCCACAGGGCCATTGTACTGGGGGCGAAGCCACGCGGTCAGCGCAGTCGCTCAGGCTGCTCCCAACCCCCAGCCGCGGGCCTGTGGGTCACTGCAGGGACAGGGCAGGGCCTCCTCCTGCCTCTCCTCCCGGCGCCCCAGCCCTGGCCGCACTCAGGGGGTCCACTCTGCTCGTCTCCACCGCACCCCCAGGGGGGCTGCAGGCCTCCAGCGGGTGGTTTGGCCCAGCGGTTAAGATGCCCGGAGCTCACGTGGGAGTGCCCGGCTTCCTCGCCTGGCTCCGGCTCCTGACGCCGGCTTCCTGCTACTGCGCACCTGGGAGGCAGGGGGACGCCTCGGGGAGGGACCACGATGGGGTTCCCGCCTCGGGCTTCAGCTCTGCGGGTACTTGGAGGTCGAGCCAGCGGACTCTCCCGTTCCCATTCTCTCTCCCCCTCCCCCACCATACAAGTAAATAAAGTTTACAGACATAGCTAGGTCTCCTGCACCTGCACCCCGCCCCCGCGGGCCGCTCACCGTGGGTCCCCCCTCGTGGCCCGGGGATCCTGCCCTCTCCGCGCGCCCCACCTGCGGGGGCTTCCGCCCAGCCCTCCACCCTCCCCACCCCCGCCCAGCGCCCCGGCCCGGAGGCAGCGGGGTGCGCGCTCACCACGGGGAAGGGGAAGACGGCGCCGGCGGCTGCGGGCTGCGGGAAGAGCGGCTGCGGGGCGGGCGGCGGCGGGTACAAGGCGGCGGGCGCAGGCGCGGGCTGGAAGACCACCGGCACCTGCGGGAAGGGCGGGTACAGCAGGTGCACGGCCTTGGGGTCGGGCGGCGCGTACGGGGGGGGCTCGCCCACGAAGCCGATGTGCGGCGCCCCGCCGGCCGCCGCCTTGGGCCCGGGGCTGGCCTCTCCGGCGGCCGCAGCGCCCACCGCGGGGTCCTCCGGCGCCGGCTCGCTCCCCTCGGCCGCCGCGGCCGCCCCGTCGTCGCCGTGCGGGCTTCCGTCTTCCTCCAGCAGCTGCGGGCGGCGCGGCAGGCGCGGGAGCGCGGGGTGCTCGGGGCTCGGGGCGTCCGCGGGGCGCTCCGGGCTCGGGGGGTCCTCGGGGCCGCCCCCTTTGGTGTCCGGGCCTGGGGAGAAACGCGGCGGCTGTGAGGCCCCGGGGCCCAGGCGGGACCCCCGCCTCGCGCCCCGCACACACAGGCCCTCCGAACCCTGGCCCGCCTGGGCACCCAGCGCCCTCGTCTCCACCGCGGTCCTCATGGACCCTAATGGGAAGGGCAACGACGGCACCGGAAACCCGAGGCGATCGTCGGGGGACTCCGCTCCGAGCCGCACCATATGGGGAAGCGGTTCCCGCCCCCCGCGCCCTGCTGCCCCCGTCTATTGGACCAGAAGAAAGAGCATTGGCCTAGGGCAGCCTCTGATTGGCTGTCCTGAGATAGGGCGCCCAGACAGGCTCAGCCAATCGGATTCTTGGCTTGGGGTTGGAGGCGGGAGGTTGGAGGGGGGCGGCGCTCAGGAACTGCCACTCCTGGCTGAGTGACAAGGAGCGGGGTGGCGGGTGCAGGGGAGTGGACAGGGGCGGTGGGCCCAGCAGCTTGAAGGGTCCTGGGCAGGACTCAGCGAACCCTGAAGCCCCTGCACCTCCTGGGAACCTCCTGACCGGCAAAGCTCCCGGGCGGCTCAGGCACGTGCCTGAGTAGGGTCCTGGGGAGGAGACCCCTGCCCTGAGTGGTCGCTCACGGCCCCACAGCAGGGTGGGCAAACCTCCAGCTAGCGTTCAATTAAAAACACAGAGAAAGATCAAAATTGGGCCCGGTGTTGTGGCAGAGCCGGTTAAGCAGCTGCCTTGTAACCCGGCATGCCGTATGGTGCCAGTTCGAATCCCAGCTGCTCCACTTCCAATCCAGAGCCCTGGTGGCGCACCTGGGAAAGCAGAAGAGGGTGGCCCAAGTGCATGGGCCCCTGCACCACGTGGGCGACCCGGAGGAAGCTCCCCAGCTGTTGCCACCATTTGGGGAAGAAACCACTGGATGGAAGACCTCTCTCTCTTACTTTTAAATAAATAAAAATAAATCTTTAAAAAAAACAACAATCACCAGAGAGAAGCGAACAGGAGCTCACCATCACAGGCCCTACAGACACTAAAAGGAAAAGGAGAGAAAACGTGATAGCCCACACCAAGGAAGCCGCACACGGACTAGCAGCAGACCCCAGACGGCTAGGTTAAAACTGGTAGCCCACGTATAAGATCTCTCTCTGTGTGTGTCTCTCTGTAGCACTCTTCCTTTAAAATAAATGTTAAAAATAAGCCATTTTTGAAAACCCTAATGCTGTTTATAAGATCACTCAGTGGATGTGTGTCTCTCTGTATCGCTCTTCCTTTGCAATACATTCTAAAAATAAATAAGCAATTTATAAAAGTTAATATCCCATTTATAGCAGCACTAGAATAAATGGAAAACATCTAGGAATGAATCCAGTAAATAAATCCCAAGACAGCTACCCAGAAAAACGACAAAGCATGGGGTGGGTGGGGATGGGGGTGGGGTGGGCATAGCCCTGGATAAGCAGGGATCCGCCCTCAGGAGGAGACGCTCGGACAAGAAAAGGAAGTGAGTGCCAGGGGCTGGCACTCAGGCTGCCTGGACCCCGCATCCCAGGCCAGGGGGCCTCGTCCGGGTCTCAGCTCAGCTTCCTGCTGGTGCCCACCTGCTCAGTTCCTGTTGCCCCGTCTGGGGCTCTGGGTGCCGGGCTCTGGCCTGGCCCCGCCCTGGCTCCTGTGGCCACTTGGGGAGTGAGCCTGCAGGTGGAAGGTCCCTCTGTCACCCTGCTCTCTAAATAACCCATCTTGTAGGGGCAGGCAGTGTGGCACAGGCAGTGAGCTGGAACCGCTGGGGACACCCGCGTCCACAGCAGAGCGCCGCTGTGGCGCTGTGTTCAAGTCCTGGTTACTCCACTGTCTTTTTGTTAAGATTTATTTTTTACTTATTTGCAAGTCAGAGTTAGAGAGAGAGAAAGAGAGAGAGGTCTTCCATCCACTGGTTCACTCCCTAAATGGCTGCAACAGCCAGGACTGGGCCGATCCAAAGCCAGGAGCCAGGAGCTTCCTCCAGGTCTCCCACGCGGGTGCAGGGGCCCAAGGACTTGGACCATCGTCTACTGCTTTCCCAGGCGCATTAGCAGGGAGCCGGGCCAGAAGTGGAGCAGCCGGCTCTCCAACCGGCACCCATGGGGGAGACCTGGAAGAAGTTCTCATCTCCTGGCTACAGCCCCAGCCGTTGTGGCCATCTGGGGAATGAACCAGCAGATGGAAGATCGCTCTCTCTCTCTGTCTTTCAAATAAATATTAAATAATAATATTTAAAAAAAAACTAAGTACCCAGCAACAAAAAGGACTGGACTGGACACACGGCTGAATCTCCAGCTCAGCTGTGGTGCACGCGGGAGACAGCAGGTAGGGCAGGTAGCTGGGCCCCTGCCGCCCACCAGAGAGACCCAGACGGAGTTCCTGGTGCCTGGCTTCCCGCAGCCACGGGGAGTGAACCAGAGAACGGGCGATCTCCACCTCCTCTCTTTGCCTCTCAAACAACAACAACAATAATAATAATAATAATAAAGTTTGTGGACAGTGGAACCCAAGGACTGGCACAAAAAGTGCGGGGTGCGGGCCTCACTCCTCCGTCATCCCGCATGTCCCCCGCAGCAGAGCTGTGACTTTGGGGCCACTCAAGCACCTTGGGGCGCCGGGACCCCCATTCCGGGGGTGGGCGAACCGAGGCTCCCGCAGGCGCGGAGCCTCAGCCGAGCCCGGGCGCCGGCCCCCGCCCCCGCCCCTGAAACAAAAGCCGCAGCGCCCGGGTCCGCCAGGGCCAGCCCGGGCCGGGGTGGCGCGGAGATGGCACCGCGGGCCAAGAGTCTGGGGCGGGGCTGCGGGCGCCTGGGCCCGCGACACCTGAGCCCCCGGCGCCCGGCGGCTCCGCAGGAATTTAGGGCGCGACGCGGGGCGGCGGGGGGAGGGGGCGCCTCGAGGCCCGGGCCGGAGTGGGTGGGGTGCAGTCGGGGGTCGTTGGAATCAGGCCGGCGTGGGGTGGGGGTCTTTGGAGCCGGGCGGCAGAGGAGAGTGGGGAGGGTGCGGGGGTCGTCGAAGCAGGGGCGGGGGTCGTCGGAGTTGGGCCGGGCCTCCCCATCCGCTTCGGGAGCCCGGACGCGGGCCGCGGCGGGTGCGCCCCCTCCCAACTCCCGGAGCCCCTTCCCCGCCAGCCAGGGGCCTGGGGCGGCGGGCGGCGGGCGGGCCTCGCTTCCCCGGGCTCGGGCGGGACCGTCGGGCGCGGCCCGGGCGCCCCGGCCCGGACATCGCCGCGGGGGTCCCCCTCCCCCGGGTCCGGGCGCTGAGGACCCCGGCCTGGCTGTGAACAAAGCGCGCAGAGGCGACCGCTCCTCCCGGGTCCCGCCCCGGGCTCCCCGCGGCGGCCTGCGGTGGGGGGGTCCCCAGCTCCGGGCAGGGGGCGTCGCCCGCGCTCGGGCTCCCCCGGGCCCCGGCCCCGCGGCGCTCACCTGGCTCCATGGCGCGTGCGGTCTGCGGGGCTGCGCGGCTCCCGCCGGCGCCTCCCGTCGGGCCCCGGCTCGGCTGCGCTGCGCTGCCGGCTCGGGTTTCCTGGCGCGGCCTGGCCGGTTAATAATTGACCGCGGTGTTTGCCCGCGGCGGTGTCCGTGCCTCGCGCCGGGACGGCCTTGCCCTAGACCCGGGCCGCGCCGGGAGCAGGGAGGGCAGGGGCCCCCGCGCGCGCCCCCGCGGAGAGACGGCAGGGAGCGGTGGGGAGTGGGGACTCTGCGGGGTCCTTTGTACCTTTGCTGCGAGAGAAGCCAGACACGTAGCCATTTATGTGAACTCTGCAGAGACGCAGAATGAGGCGTGCGGGAGCTGGCGGTGCAGCCTGGTGGTTAAGCCCTGCCCTCAGGCCCAGCCCCAGCGCCTGGCTCCGGACGAACCGGCCATGCAGCGGCTGAGTGCCTGCCACCCTTGTAGGACCCTGGATCCCACTCCGCCCCAGGCGCTTGGGTGAGCAAGGAGATGAAGGTGTGTGTGTGCATATGTGTGCGTGTGCGCGTGTGCCCCTTCAAATCAAAATAAAATCAAGCAATGTGCCACCTCTGCTCTGCTCGCTGAAGCAGCCAGGCTGGGGGACTGGAAGCCGCTTGAAGCCGGTGACCCGGAGAGGCCGCTGGACCTGCCGCAGCTCACAGCCACGCCTGAACACTGGCCGCCAAGTTCCAGGGTGGGCAGCACCCCTGCTGCGCTGCCTCAGCGGTCTAGGGCCTGAGTGTCAGGAGCGCACTTCACAACGCTTCTGGTAAAGAAAAAAAGAGTTTCTGGAAGCGGAATTCACAGACAACTTTATTTGGGGGCGAGAAATGTTGAAATTCGTGCCTCTGCCTTGGGAAGGTCTTCAAAAAGCAGATTCCAAAATGCTCTTTAAAAGGATTTATTTGAAGGGGAAAGGAAGGGGCAGCACTGTGACACAGCAGGTTAAAGCCCCGGCCTGCAGTGCCAGCATCCCATGTGGGCACCGGTTCAAGACCCGGCTGCTCTACTTCCGATCCAGCTCTCTGCGATAGCCTGGGAAAGCAGTGGAGGATGGCCCAAGTCCTCGTTCCCCTGCACCTGCGTGGGAGACCTGGCAAAAACTGCTGGCTCCTGGCTCTGGATCAGCGCAGCTCCAGCCGTTGTAGCCAACTGGGGAGTGAACCAGCGGATGGGAAGACCTCTCTTTCTGCCTCTCTTTCTCTGTGTAATTATGACTTTCAAATAAATCTTTATTTATTAATATTCAAATAAATAAAAAGGGAGGAGTGGGAGGGAGAGAAAGAGAGGGAGATCTTCCATCCACTGGTTCATCCCCAAATGGCTGGGGTTGGTCCATGCTGAAGCCAGGAGCCTGGAACTCCATCCAGGTCTCCCACGTGGGTGCAGGGGCCCAAGCCCTTGGGCCATCTTCTGCTGCTTTCCCAGGCGCATTAGCAGGGAGCTGGATCAGAAGTGGAGCAGCTGGGACGAGAAGCAGCATCTACATGGGATGGTGGCTCTGCAGGCTGGGACTTTAACCCTCTGCACCACAGTGCCCGCCCCGAGTAGGCCGTTTTTAAATTTTTGTTTATTTATTTTCATCCAATTGAAAGGCAGAGTGACAGAAATAGCGAGGGGAAGAGAGAGAAATCTTCACTCAAAATGCCAGCAACAGCCAGAGTCGGGCCAGTCTGCAGCCAGGAACAGGCGGTCGGGGCCCAGGAAGCTGGGCCATGATCTGGATCGGAGGTGAGTGGGGAGTCGGGCCAGCTCTGACACTGGCTGCTGGCGTCCTGGGCCGTCTGTGCAGGAGGAGGCAGCCTTGGGGCGGTGCAGCCAGGTGCAGGGGGGCAGGGAGGTGAACCTGTCAGCAGCTCACAGAAGCCCCAGGGAAGCTAGTCCCACCCACCGAGTCTGTGGATGAGAAAATGAAATCTCCCAGGAGCTGGAAGCCCAGGACTGTTCCCCCAAGGGGCACGGGCTCACCTTCCACCTCCCCACGTGGTCCAGAAATGTGCACCCTGCGAGGCAGCGGGTTCCTGCCACCCGCCTGGGAGACCCTCACTGAGCTGTGGGCTCCTGGCCTTGA